GCGTCACCGTAGCCATGCGCGTCAGCAAAATTAAACCGTTTTTTTTTGTCAATGTAAGATGATGTCTCAAATCCACCAAACTCACTGGTTTGACTGGAATCCTGCTGCTGCACAATTTTAACGTGTTTTAGATCGGGTTTCGATCGAGTATAAACTTTATGTGGCCTCTCTGGGTTCCCATACATTTTGCACAAAATTTAGTTGGGCACCATTTGCAGTCATCAGCCGACATTTGAAGAAAAAAACAAGTTAAAAAAAAAAGCCTAAGGGATTTTCGGTTGGTTTTTATTTTTAATTTTTTTTATATTTTTTATCACTGCTCGATAACAATTTATGTACCATATGTACATTACGCATACTTATGTACATTCTTACTAGTAAAACCATAGAGATAGGACATCGCCGATGTGCATCGTATATTGAAGCTCAGAATCTACAAGGACAGTGTACAGCTTGTGACAGCGCATCTGGACACCCCCAGGACTCGAGTGGAGTGGAGGCTGGGGTGATTCAGACTGTGATCTGCTCCTAGTCATTCTCTCGCTTAACACACAGCCAGCTTGTCCGTTTTGTCTTTCCTGTGTTGAAGTGTATTGGGTGACATTCCTCGGTGTGTTTCAGTGCTGGTGGAATATATGCACGTACATGGTACAGTACATGGTGTACATGTGCACATGTTCATGCATCCTGATTGCAAAATAACATGGTAAATGTACACATATACATGTCAAACTTTGTCACCTGGGCATTCAGAGAAGTATGTGACTATGTGTTGTCATCACTGTGTCAATTTTATACATTATTTCCACATTGTCACATGTAGGGAGATCAACAGCACATGTACATTACGTAGGCTACCGATAGATCATAGATGTTTTATCAAAATACAAAAGTCAGATCATTCTTCACTGAAATTTAAGAAGTCTTATTCTTACATGTACAGTGTACATGTATGTACTTACATGTAAAGCCTTATTGTTACTAAACCTGTTAACACCCACACTATGTGTACATTGTATTACATTGTATTTATTCACAGATGAATCTGTAAAAACATCTGTAGTGCTCAGGCTGTTACAAGAATAACCAGGCAGGGCGGTTCCAGACTGCTAGGCAATAACTTTACTTAAACCTTCCTGCTATTTTTACAGTCACAGACAGTCAACATTTCCATCCACTTCCCCTGCTATACCTTTAACACAGGCTAGTCACCGGCAGTCAGATCGTACATATATGTCAAGCAAGCACTGTGACTAGTCAAACAGAGATGAAACTTTTCCGATTTTAATCGGAAATCCGACTTTTTGGATTTTCCAACGAAATTTCCGATTTTTTTACAGTGTCCCACAAAATTTGATTTTGTAACGATTTTTTTACAAAATGTCATTTTATTTCAATCATAATTTCGACGAAATTTCGATGAAAAGTCGATGGAAATGGCACGTTAAAATCATCGCGAACGTAGTTTTAATCTCTTTCACCAGTCGTTATTGTAGTGTTTCAACGGTAGAAACACAGGCCATAACACTGATCGGAGCCTTCTCCGGCTGGGCAAAAGGTTAAACATTGACAGGTGACATGGAAAAATCACTGTGTCACACGTGCGTGCGAATATGCAATGGTACAGCGTACGTACGGTACCGCACCGTACCGTCCGCTAGCACATGGCCGGTTGGGAACGGGTAGCCTTGTGAACGATCCAGTGGATAAAATCATTATGTTGTGCGATTTTCCGAAGGTTTCAAATTTACAATTTGTACAAATGCAATGCTTTAAAAATCGTGATGATTATCTCGAGGATAGCGAAGAGAGCATTAGCGAAACATTTCACTGGCATTTGTTGGAAGAAAAAGACGATAATGCCTGATTTTTCCCCACGTATGAATGCAAGTGGAGTAGTGGAGTTGTGTGGTTGAATCATGGACATGATTGAAGCACCATGAACGGTGCCCTTGTCTTCCCTCGACTTTCTCAAGTAAGAAGTGAACTTCTTTATTGATGACTCCATTACTCTAACTGTAATTCAGGCATTTTATGCAATGAAAACACTGACTTTTTTTTTTTCATCGTAAAATTTTGTTTGAATCAAAAATAAAGCAGGAGTTGGTGTCCGGAAATTGGGCATGAAGTGTATTGTACATGCATGTTCATGATGAACATGCATGTACAATACAGTTCATGTGTGTAACTGCAGCGCGGCCCAGATTTCGGACACATATTTTTGTTCGGCCTATTTTTCGATTTTTTTTTTGCCATATGCCAGTTTCATCTCTGGTCAAAGTCAGTATAACAGACCATGAATTCAGACAAAGCAACCAAATTGTGGGCACAGCTGGCTTAACAATTACCCACAGTTAAAGCATCATAGCTCAACAGTCACAGCCAGTCAATCCTGCTTCATGTAGGCTGGGAATTCTTAACTGTTGAAAACAGTCACTTGATTGATTTTGACTGAAAGGACTACAATGTACTTGGCACAGAACCAATGTTTGCATAGGAGGGTTAATTTCAGAATATTTTTGACACTTTGTTTGGCAATTACTGGTACAATGTATCAACAATTTTGCCAGCTTTACGATTCCACAGATGCCACAATAACACCAGAAAGGGTTTCACGCTGGGATTAAAAAAAAAACAATCTCTAAATAATTGGTCAAGGTCTGGCACCTTCGTGATCACCACTGGTCATTCTGCCTTCCTATGACAGTGGTTGATAACCTTGCTCCCGTATTCGTCACGATGTCATACGGGTCAGTATCCGCTGACTATCCGCTGGCCCTAAATTATTCCCTTCACTCAGTCAACGAGGATCTTTTTTTCTCCCAAAAGGGGATTTCCCTAGGCCCCAAAATTAATATCCTATGTGTATACGGGGTACATGTACCAGTCCGTATTCTGGATTTGACATACCGGTATTCAGTCAGGGGTATTTCCAGAAATAACCTATAGGTGTCGATGGACAAGAAGGGTGCATGGTGGTACCAGGATTCTCCCAAAAACTTTTAATAGATGGGACATGAAGAAATTTACCACTTGCCCAAAAATGTCCAACAAAGACTGGCGCGATATCCCAACGATGTTTTGAACTAAAATCTTGCTGTCTCCATCTGGTGGTACACTGTAAAACTAAAAATACAAAAATGTCATAAAATTTAGAAACATGCTTTTTTCATGGGCCAGTGCTGCTTGTGTTCATTTGTCGATTGAGAAATATTGGCATAGCCGCAACTTGTTGTGTTGTGCAATTGGGAAAAAGGTCACTCACACTGCATGATTTGGGCTCTCCCTTTTTGTGCGGGAAGGTGTGCACATTTTGCAAGGAGAGTACCCTAAACCCTGCACGGATCTTTAGAGAGCATTCGTGTCTGTGGCTTACAGTGGGTACTTCCTCCTCCACCCATCCAAGTCACAGGGGTCAGTATCCACCACACTTACCACCATGGAGTGTGTGTGCATTTTCAGGGAGGGATTCCCTGTTTAATACACATCCCTTTTGACATCTGAAAGGTGACTGTCCTCTAAACTCCGCCCAGATCCTTACACTGACCAGTTGTCATTCTAGCAGGGTTCCCCCCTTACCTTTCTACCTTATCAAGGTCATTCACCTAGTCAGAACACAGACCTCAAAACTTGTATCTTTCACTCATGGGTAGAGCACTGGACCCAATTTCATAGCTCTGCTTACACTACAGTTAGCGAAAAATCCCTGCTTAGGCCCAAAAAAAAAATACTCGGTCTTTGGTTAGACCAAAGTTCCCGGAATTGATGCGGCGACGCTTTTTTTTTTTTTTTTTTTTTTTTTTTTGTTGGAGCTACCGCGGAAAATTTTGGGGAAAAAAAAGATTGACGCGCATGATTAAAATCGACGTGCGCGCTGACCAGAGAGCAACTTTTTTTTTTTTTTGACCTTACTGTAGCAGAAAATTATGTGCTTATGGTAAGCGTATTTCACTGCTCAGCGAGGTATTTTGGCTTCTGCGCATGTGTACATCCCCTAAAATGGATTTTGTGCTTACAGGGTTAGCGCAGTTTTTTTTCTGCTAGCACTCTTAGCAAAAATAGTGATTGTAAGTGTGGAATTCCGTGTTTTGGAGCCATGAAATTGGGCCCTGATATCTATGTAAAAAAATCTGGATAGCCCAATTGCTGTTGGAAGTGAAATCACCGTCCGCCATATTACCACTCCAGGAACAATAGATTTGTAAAGAAAAATAGATTATTTAATTGATATACATGTATGTACATGTACATGTACACTATTTTTACACTACCTATATTTTTTGTTTTCAAAAAAAAATCAAATAGGCAACAAAATTTATTGGATATCAATTTTCTGTTATACAAAAAAAGTGGTTCGTATATTTTAAGACAGTTCTATAGGTCTGTCTCAAAGACGGACATCTCTGTCAGAGAACTGCAACTGCGTATTTTACGCAATCAAGCATGCATTGCGCAGTGTTGAAAATGTTCCAAACACGTGCGCTTGTTGCTCGAAATGTGTTTGAAATACGACGCAGCCGATGTGCGTTATGCAAGTCGACGCTCAAAATGCCGATTCACGTGGCTGGTCTGTAGGAAATGACGTCATTTGAGAGAGACCTGTTCTAGATTTTTTGAAAATTCAACCACTCCCACTGTGGGAGTGGTTGAGACTGGTTCCCTCCCCACATTCGAATGGACAGATTGGGAACCAGCACATAGCTTCACTTGTTTGTCCTTCGAGCTATCCAGCTTTTTTTACATGGAGATCAGTACTATAGAGTCCGAAACTGGCAAGGGTTTCCTGCCCCAACGACCTCGGATGAGGGTCAACTCATCTGCAATGTGCACAAACAGGCACGGTGTTGTTCTTGGACATGTGAAATAGGCCAATCAGACTACGAGGAAGGTAGAACATCACAGCACACAACAACCAAAATGTTTTCAGAAGCAGGTTTCCGGTCTAGTTGTAAACCCTTCTTCTACCTCATCACTAACCACGGTTTGTCTGTTCCTCCCAGCAGGGTATTCTGGCCGGCTCTTCCTCCGGTACCACCTCCATCACTGCATCCACCGCGTCCAAAGCCAAGAGAGCACGGCTCACGCATCACCAAGCTGCCCAGAGTGTTAACTGTGAGTAGAGAGTAAATGAAGCACAGTCAAATCAATCAATCACACCCTACAAGACACAGTGCTAAGGGCCCGCCCCCTTGTATTTAACTAAGCCTTCCGCGGTATCGATGAAAACAATGATTTTATTGAGAGACACCTTTGGGCAATTGTGTAGTTTAGGACACCTTCCCTTTTTTATTTGTTCCGTTCAAAAATGACTTTCCCAAACGACTGTCAAATTTTCAAAAATGACACTTGCAGCCCTAAGCAGCCTTTTTTGTTTAGATTAACTTGAGGCATGTTTTTTTTTTTTGTAGTTTTTTAAAATGTGACTTTTTTTTAACCTGTTTTAGCACTTAGAGACGTGCGAGTCACAACAGTTCAGGCGTTGTCATCATTTTACCCCAAAATTTTCCTCATAAATAAAAACCCTGCTTTTTTCTACGACATTAATGCCTGCTGATATTCAATATGGTATTTTAGCGAACTAAAAAATATCAAGTTACTTTTCCTGCTGGCAACTAGTATTAGGTAAGTCCGAAAACAAAAAAGTGTCTTTCCTTCTCTCATGAAACAGGGTGCTAAACTACACGATTACCGACCTTTGCGCCAAATCATGTGTCCCTGCTCAGGTGCATTTTTGGCACAAATAGAATATGCAGGTTTGTTCAGAAAAAAAGCTCGCACCATTCACGTTGGTTAACCAGGGCGGGCTGTCACCACGTTATGGGGAAGTTGTTTATTGTTAGGCAAATTAGGACCGAGTTATGGGGACTTTCTGCTGTACCCATAGCGTCTTCGGTCCCCATAGTACCATGGGACAACTCGTGTGTAGTCCCCACACCTATGGAACAAGAATCGTGTACATGTACATGTATACACACTCATGTGTTTTACTGCCACACACAAGTAAAGCAATCAGTGTCACGTACATGTACACGTAAAATCCTATACAGACTTCATACAGGTATAGAACAAAATACATTGTACATGAACATGTACATGTACATGTACAGTAGTAGTGTACATGTACATGTACGAACAAACAAAGAAAAGTTTAATCAAGTAAGAAATTTAAAGAATACTCTTTTTTTTTCATGCACTTTATGACTGACATTTTAATGAGCGTTTGCGTTGTGTAAATCGGGTGTACTCTGAAGGTGGACCCCCCTTTTCTTTCTGGGTTCCTGGAGAGTAATCTGCTGTGGATGTTGATATGTACATGCCTGGCATAGCAGGCATGTCAGCCCCCATTTATTGAGCAGTCTTCTCGGGCCTAAAGAAAATCATTTCAACGAAAACGTGTGACAGCTGAACAAAATTCAAGATTGATTTTAATCTCTAGGAGCCCTTTCCCCCCCCCCCTGAAATTGACATGTTCGTCTGGTTATGACGTTTTGATGAATTCTGTTCTGTTCTGAAAATGACAGGAGGGAAAGAAAATATTGAAGTTCCAAGTGACAGATTTTATTGGGAGAAAAAAAATCTGATGGAATGGAAGGGACAATTTTTTTTTTTTTTTTTTTTTTTGGCCACAGTGGGGTTTTTGTGTTGAGTTTGTGGAATGTGCTGCCCAATATTGCAAACAAGAAAAACATTTTCAGTGTTGGCTTGAAATGATCCTACGATTGAGGATTTCATGTTGAAAAATTGGCTGACGGACAAGACGTTTTGTTACATGTACATGATCAAATCCACAATTAACCTTGTCACATGAAATTTGGCAAGATGTAAACTTTATGTGTTAATTTTTGTTACATGGATCTCTCATCTCATAGCCAAGGAAAAGGTCGTAAGCAGCCCAGGCACGCAAAAAGCACTTTTGGAGATAATCGTGTTGAAAAGTTTTGTGCTTCCATTTCTAAATTAAAAATAACATAAGGCTGAAATGTGGACTTACGAAAGTCGTTATTAATTACAATAATATTGTGCATTTTTATTTCAAAATGTTACTTAATTTTGAAGTTATTTCAATTTTTCTGCTTGCGACCTTTTACCGGGAACTCCATCTGCCTTAAACGTGAACTCTCCCTACATTAAACGTGCACTTACGTTGTAAGCGGCATGTTAAAGTCCTTTTGCCGGGAACAAACTTGGCTTTACGCACCCACTTCAGTGGGACGTTAGCACACTTGGAACATATTTTGTTACATTAGAATTACACGCTAAGGACCTTTTGCCAGGAACAAATAATAAAAAAAACCTCCTTATGACTTTTGTTCACTGTTAATTATGTCAGTTTGACGTAGCCCTTAGAGACAAAATGTATATCAAATGACAGATGTTGCCATGCTCTATCGATTACCTGAAAAATCTGAATTTGACCGTTTGACCCATTTTTTGCCCTAACGACCTTCTTCCACGCACCGGACAATATTTTCTCAGGTTCCTACAATGTGTACATACCGGAACATGGGTGTATTTGGAACTTTATTTCACACACAAAAATACTTAAATATTTGAGTTTTCAATTTGACTTCAATGGCTTTTCCTTTGACTTTTGAGTGTTTTTAGGTCCTCTGTAGTGCATTCACCCTTATTCACTTTGGCACTGAAACCACCATGCCAATGAACACAATGTAACACACGCATGTTTGTTTTACATACTCTATGTGGACATTCCTTTGTTTTCGTGTAGTTAAGAAAACTCGATACAAAAAACAACTTTACTGAAACTGTGAAAACTCTTTCAACCCCCAATTTTTTTTTTTATTTCCTTGAATGTTTCTCTTCATTCTGCCACAAATAACCCTAACCCGAAAATGCCTCTAAACCTGTTTTCCAGAGAGGGCGAAACATTATGTGGACACGGCTTAGTCCACATAACGTTAACACAACCGGCATTATGTGGACATCTTTTGTTCTCATGTCCACATAGTGACTGTAAGACAAAGCCAAAATAAACACAATGTAACACAATGTAGTACAAGCGCAAATGGGTTAAGAACTGACTTTGATAATCTTTTTTTTTTTAAAGAGAGAAAAAAAACAGACAATCTGCTCATTGGCATTTTAAAATTGTCTGTATAAATTTCCAATTTTACTTTGATAAAAATGTGAAGTTGTTTTCTCTTTCCCTCTCTATTTTTTCCCAGTGTCTAATCCCGAAGACAACTTTCTCCAGTATCATGTCCCGTCTGAAATCCTGCTCAAGATCTTCTCTTACCTCCTGGAGAAGGACTTGTGCAATGTCCTGTGCGTCTGCAAACGCTTCAACACGTTAGCGGGGGACCCTACAGTATGGTAAGGCAGCAGTTTCCTCTCGCAGGCATTGAAAAATGTCAACATTAGCTCGGTGCGGCCACACCCCTCAGAGGCCTGTTACAGAATTGTGTGCGTTTAGCTTTTATTTTTGGATCGCTCAGTGTTTGGTCATTGAGGTTGTAAAAACATTGCAATGATTACGCATTCTGCATTTCTGTGATACAAAGTAGGCATTCTTGATGTCTGCAAATGTTCAAGTTTATTGAACCAATTTGTACATTGTTCAACTGACCCTGAGCATTTTAAGGAATCTTCCAGAATCCACAGAAAAAAAAAAAACAGCATTGTGCGGTAAAACCTATGACCTTTTTACATTGAGCCAGGATTGAAGTAATTAACCTATCGCGGTAGAATCGCGTCAACGCAGCTTGTGAAATATTGTCCAATTATACATGATATACAAATGGACGCAGAACGAGCAAAATCTGAGACAAACAAAATCAACGTACAAAGTTCCATAGGGTTGTCTAAGGGGCATGGCTAACTCGCAAACGGCGATAGGTCACTTGTGACTAGGATCTACAATGCTAGTTTTATGAAGCTGTTAACCCTAAAAGGGCCTGGAAGGGGACGGGATTCCCCGATTTTCTCCCTCTCTCCCCCCACACATACAGAGGTTTGTTTATGGTGTAATTCGAGGATTTTCTATTGTTCCTCTTCCTGTTCCTTTGTACATACTCTTTTGCAACAGCTCTCATTGGTTTTGTACACGTTTTCCAACTGAGGAGTCCTCGATTTGGTTCCTGTCCTCAATTCATCGATGATGTTGCACGTGTGTGTCCTCGATTTACACCATAAATACGCACCTACACACTTTTTAAACAATATTTTTGCCAAACGATTTTTTCTCGCCATGAGCTTAAGAATTTCTAGCTTCAAGTCTGGCACATATTTTGATACCAAATTTATGAAAATTGACCTTACGGTCACTGCGCTGCACGACATTATTTGAGGCAGCATGCCATGGAAATCTCACATTTATTGCGGACTTACTGATAGCTCGGGTTAAAACCGGAGAAGAAATGTATTTTTTTTTATAGAAAGGCAGAAATTAGCATCATCTCAGTAGGTCAAGTACATGTAGAAGCATGATTTTCAGTTGTGGCAGGAGTATTTTTTAACTCATGATAAAACTTCACCGTACTGTATGTCTTTCTTTTTTCTTGGTCTCTTTTTGAGAGAGAGAGAGGAGGGCGCGGTCCTCTAGAAGGAAGTCCCCCATGTACAATCCAGATTAAGAAAAATTCCTTGTCGTTTGGGACTGGTCCCCGAATACTAGTGTGGAGTGAAGAATGTACTGGAATTTTTTTTTCTGCGAGGAAGTCATTGATTGACTCAATTTGAAGGAGAGCCGGTCGCGATTTCCTCTGATAATTTGGACTCTTACTGTACTATGGCCTCTTTTTTCTCACAGATTTGCCGTGGGTAGGCAGCCCCTAGGGTACATCTATGTTATCAGCTGAATGTTGCCGTCTCGCACATGGCTTTTTTGGCCTTAATCTTTGGGGTCTGGTGTTAAAAATGTCCCATGGTTTTTTTTTCTTCTGTGTCTGTGCTGTGACGTTTCCGTGTACGTCAAAACTGCGTGGGTCATCCAGTATGTATCGGTCTGCTTTGCATCCGTCAGATTTATTAAAATTTGCCCTTTTGACAACTGATTCCCTTCAAATGAATTCACCCAGCTACCCTGGTTCAGTAGTCTGTATTTGCTCAACCAGCGCTTTAGTCAGCATTTGAAAATGGGTGTGCTAATCTGCCTGAACCCGTTAATCCTAGTTACCGCCTGTAAGTACCCAGCCTGTTACTCCTTATACCAGCCCGAAGCGCCCCAGCACAGCATCACGGATTTATTAACCATAGCCCTCCTCAATCCTCCACAATCCACCAGGCGGTTTTGGAGATTGAGGCGAGTTGGTTTTGGAGGATGCATTGTGTCCAGGTCTTGCGCTGCACCTTGTGTTGTTTATGCTTTAGCCAAGCATAAAATAGATAACACTAGATATCTGCACTGCCTCCTAGATCCCTCCTCACAACAATGATTGTCGGAGGAATTTGAAAGATTGAGGCAGTGGTCACCCCTCCACTTAAGATGCATGTATGCACGAAATAACGATGGTTTTGGAGGATTGTTTTATACATGGTGGCTATTGTACAGTTGCGCACCCAGGATTTGGCTTTGGGGGGGCTCACAATTTTTTTTTCAAATTTTTTAGAGGTTTAATTTTTTTCAAAATATGTTGCCCAAAATGTTTTGCCTCAGAAAAAAAAATTGGGTTTTTTTTCCGGGGGGTCGGACTATTTTGACATTGGTGGCGCCACTTACACCCCTTTTAAACTACTCGAAAATAGGCCACATGCATATCGCGAAGGTCAATTTGTGGGACTAAAAAAAAAAAAAAATACCAAAAAAAACCCTGCCACTGCTATTGGAGGAATTTGCAGGATTGAGGATGGTTCCTACATTGTAGCCAAAAGGGCCCGGGGGATTAATCCTAGTTTCCATATCGACATAAGAAACGCAGAGAATATCGCAAGCAAGACCCAAACTGCAACGCACACATGGAAACATTTCATCCGGAAATATCACCGAGAACCCAGACAGACGCAAACTATCTTGCAGACGACTTTGCCGACTGTTGCGCGTACTGTCTGTGCAGTCTGCGTAGTCTGCGTAAGCTGGACGTCGATATGGAAACCAGGCTTTAGGGATAAGGAGTAGATACGTGTACAGTGTGGTTCAATGTAATAGAAGCGCTCATGTGAATAACATGTATTCTGTCATGTGAGAAACAAAAACAGCAGGCATTTTGCATTTCATGATTGTAATATTGTGGAAGTGCATGGAGGACAAGTTTTGTGAATAGTTTGAAAAGAAGGAGACAGTACTCCACATTTTTTTAAGTACATGTAACTTACATGTACGTGTATAAGAGATTTTGACTTACGGACCAGTGGGTTTGTAGAAACAAAATACCCTATTGTTTGTGATGACAAATTGTGCCTCATCTGTTAAGTCTGGCTTTTGTCTGTTATTATGCATGAGTGATGACCACCACAGATTTTCTGCACTTGTGTCAGCCTAGTGTGTCACCCGTTCTGTCCTGTCTAGCGTCGGTCAGTCTTGTCCACTTGTTCTGTGCTGCAATGTGGATTGTCACCAGACTCTCCTGTATATTTGTCAGTCTGAGTGTCACCCGTTCTGTCCTGTCTATCATCGGTCAGTCTTGTCCACGTGCTCCCCTGTGTAGTGTGGATTGTCACCAGACTCCTCTGTATATTTGTCAGTCTGAGTGTCACCCATTCTGTCCTGTCTATCGTCGGTCTGTCTTGTCCACTTGTTCCCCTGTGTAGTGTGGATTGTCGCCAGACTCCTCTGGATTGTCGACAGACTCCTCTTGTCCACTTGCTCCCCTGTGTAGTGTGGATTGTCGCCAGGGTCCTCTGTGTGTTTGTCAGTCTGTGTGTCACCCATCCTGTCCTGTCAATCGTCGGTCAGTCTTGTCCACGTGCTCCCCTGTGTAGTGTGGATTGTCGCCAGGGTCCTCTTGTCTATCTATCACCCCTTTTGTCTGAACTTGCACCTGTCTATCCTGAATATAATTTCCTCGGTATGACTGATGGTCCGTTAGTCTGGCGGCATCCTGCCAAGCCCGTCAAGGGTCGGCCATCCATCTTGTACAAACCCTGAACTGTCAGGACAAGCGTAGTGCTGTGTCAGGCCCTATGACTGGTTCGAGCCACTCCTGAAAGCTGTGTTTAAAATCTCTTCAAATCTTACATATTTTGCGTCAGAAATACCTTATACAGTACTGTTGTGCTCTGTGGAATAATAAAAAAGTAGGTTTGTACCGGTAGATGATCCTTTACATGCAAAATTGCAAGTTACGAGTCTGCTGTTGCTTACATGTACTGCATGCCTGTTATTGTAGTTAACATGATGCTCATTGCTGATGAAGTTCGCTGCAGCTTATGATGGATTCACATGACTCATGATTCCAATTGATATGTGCAATACATAATTCCAATTCATACAATGTACACGTATGTATGTGCAAACTATAACCACACAAAAATCCATACATGTATGTGTCTGTATCTGTATCTTGTTTAGTTAAATTCTTTTTACTATTTTGAGAGTTGGGACACTTCGAGTTGGAGATACTTACTCCCAACCCTACATGTAACAAACTCAACAAACAATTGAAAGGTCCTGGTGGATTCCTGGTGGATTTTGTTGGATTCAGCATGCTTCTGACTTTTGATGCCTTGGGCTAGCTTCCGCAAGGTGCTTTCAACTCTGAACGGGCGATACAAACTAAAACAAGACACATGTATTGAGCTCCCTTGTCGTATACATGTTAAATGATTCTGCTTATGGGCAATTCCATGGTAACTCGTGTACGTTTAAAGGGGGTCCTCTATGCTGTAATTTTATAAAGTCAAAGCATTTGGGATGGATTTTTCTCACAGAAGATCCGTTAAAGTTAAGTGACTAAACTACACAAAAAAAGAGGCCATCAAAATAAACTTCAGGTGGTTTGGCAATACGTTGTTTTTTTTATTAGTAACCCGCGTTACAAAAAAGGACATGGTAAAAATGTTAATATCTTGCATTTAAAAATGTCCTCATACTGTGCACTGCTGGAGGATTCTTAACATCGCCGTTTTTCATTAGGGTGCAAGTTATAATGCTCCCATAACAAGTATTTACAAATAAAATAAAATCAGTTTCTCCGCTCATTTTTGGTACAAAGTTAAAACATAAAAGAACCTCATTATCAAACCAAAAAACTATATTGGCATAGAATATCAGCCTTTCTCTCGGCCATAAAAACAAAACTCACAATAATAAGTTTGCATTTGGCATGTGGAAACAAGATACCAAAATGACCACCTAAAGTTTATCCCCAAAACATTTTTGGACAAAAAATCTGACAATAGTCCGTCTTACTAGCACGCCACTCAAATGAAAGATCTTGCCATGTGCCCTTTCATTTGATACCGCATTTGAGGTCGTAATGCTTGTAGTTTGTAAGATTCCCCATATTTAAATCTGTATTATAATTTCAATTTTTGTTCTGGTTTTGTTTGTTTCTGTCAGGAAAAAGATGTACCAGTCAGTCTATGAGATGTCCCTGCCTGTACTGCGTCCCTCACCCACCAGGTTTAAGTTTGTACAACCAGACAAGGTCGATTCCCCTAACATTTGGAAGGAGAGCTTCAAAACACTAGTAAGTTGCTTGGGTCGTTTTAACAATTCATTTTGTTGGTTTTGTAGTTTGTTTTACTGACTGTTAAATTCATGAAAGCTTCATGTTTTGAACATGAATGAACTCACGTATTAAACATACTTATTTGAGACCACTTTTAGTGACCAGTACAATAATGCATGTCTTACATATTCACAAGCCTCACAGTTGTATTTTCAACAAACACCAAACCTTTGTGTGCCGAAAAAACAAAGAAATATAGTATTAAATGCAAAGCTTTTAAATCAACGCAATAATCCCACAATGAAAAGTTAGCTCTTGACTGATCGTTGGAACTCACCTGCATTTCTTGATTTCTTCTAAACGACAGCAAACCAGATGGAATAATTTCTCTGGGTACCAGTACGACCTTTAATCCTAACCTTCCCAAATTCTTCAAAATCCTCGTGCAAAATGGAGGACTTTGCAGGATTGAGGCTGTATGCTATATTTACATGTAGGCAATTGGAGGATTTTGCAGGATTGTGGCTATATCCTAGCAAAAATGCATAGGGAGTTAAGGTTTAACAAAGTAACAGTTTTGATTATAATTTGGTAGGTTACTTTTGGGATTTACAGGTGCAAATGATCCTATATTATCAATTTTTTTCAGTTTTTATTATCAATTTTATTTTTCAGTACAATGCAGTTCACGTCAAGCCGGGCCACGCGCGCCGCGTCTACGACAACATGGAAATGTACAAAGGCAGGGAAATCCAGTATTACGACACGATAGAGGAGGCTCTGTCATCCGTGGAGGGTAACGATTACCCACTCATCCTACTACACGCTGGGGTGTACAGTGGGGAGTGGCTGTACATCGACACACCCGTCTGCATACTTGGTGCTGGTAAGTATGGGATTGACCTTACTGCCAAAGGAAAGTGGTAGTAGGCTATGTGCACAAGTACCCCCTCAACTGTAAGAAAGGGAGAGTTGGGGGAGACCACTGGGAGGAGATGCATTACTGACAACACTTGACGTTCCAGTGAAGACACTTATGGCTTTGTGCACATTTAGAATCAAATTAGTGCTATACATGCGCAAACCAGTATTTGCTTGCACAGGGTTCCTTATGGAGGAGTAGAAAACACAATAGACCCCATAATGAAGTCTTTAGAAATCAATAAAGGGAAACGCTATGGAGTTTGAGATTTCAATAGGAACAAAGGAAAACAAAAGAATTGAAACAAAGGTCTGCTTCATAGGTACATGTATATGTGTGTATTGTGTGCGCACGCGTGTGTCGCATCCAATGGGCTCTCGATAGTGGTCAAAAAGCGCCCTCTCTTGTTCGCGCACCGGTCAGTGGGCGTTTGGGCAGCTATACATGCGCCTCTTCAGCGCCAAAGTGCGTGTTCCAGCTGTCATACATGTACATACGTTCACACACATGTCGGGCATTTTTCCACGCACGTCGGACATAATTAAGGCTGTGATAGGTCAAAGCGTCATGGGGCAAAGCTTAATGGATCGACCTATTCATAATAAAGTGTGCCGTTACAGTTTGCCTCGAATTGACCACTTTCCATCTGAAGTAAAATTTACAGGTTTAACAAAAATATTTTCAGTGTTTCTTAGAAAGCTTTATGTCGAATGCAAAATACCATTTACTGTCCTTCACTTTTGCAGCGCCTGGACATATTCCGGACAGCGTCATCGTAGAAAACTTCAAGGAGTCCACATTTGTTTTCTTTGAGGGCTGTGAGGATGCCTACTTAGGACATATCAGCATTAGGGTAAGCATAACGAGCAATTTCTGGACGCTCCACGCATTTTTTTTTTAAACCTCTTCCCTCTTTTTTTCTGTGATTTATATCAACGTTTAATAGTGAAGCTTGAATTTCTTTTCACAGTTTTGTGGGCTTATTATATCAAGTACGTCTTCAAGTTGTTGCTAAGTGCAGAATTGAAGATGGACATTATGTCGTGAGATATGGGTGTATGACTTGTAAATGGGGACAATTTCATGGCAGACAAATGTAGCAAACTTTAGCAGAAGACGTGCTAAAACTTGCACATGCATGGAGATATATATTGCAGTGTCACTATTGGAAACAAATTCTGCCCTTGAAGTTAATAAGCACTTTGCTGTGCTTCATGCTTTAGGTCTCTGTGAAATAGAAGGAGCCTTAATTGGCAGAAAATCGTATCAGAGAGTCTGAGAGAGAAACTCCACTTTCTGCCTGAAACTGTCGTAGTACCTCGATTTAGAACAAAAGGATATTCCAATAGCATATTTTCCCACATGCTGCATCTCTTTGGAATTCCTTGCCTAGTGCTTGTTTCCCTCCAACCTATGATCTGTCCTGTTTCAAGAGGATTGGTCAGTTTGTTCCTCCCTTCAGTTTTCCTGAGTACCTACTCTTCCTTTTATTTCTCTTGTAGCCCTGTACCTTGAGTAGCTTTTTAGCCTTGTTCAGGGCAAATATGCATAAAAAATTGTTTTTAAATTTATAAACATATCTTCAACCACGGATCCTCTACACAAGGATAAACGACTCTTCTGAGCTTGTGTACAAAATGTACGGAACGGTTTGTCTACATGCCTGATATGCCACGTCTGCGTACATAGAACAACGCATAGAACATGTAGAACAATGCGCGCACCATGATTGCCGACAGCTGGTGTCCTGACAGAAATTTGACCACCGAAAGACTGCATTCACGCGCCGGGTTTCGCGCACGCAAACGCATGACGCGCAACTGCTATATCGCGCCTCTAACCAGAAATTTGGGGAAGTCGTTTTTCCTTGTGTTGGAGAATCCGTGGTTCAACAGGCATTGCTTGCAGGAGGTAGTAGCGTGGTACCCTAAAACTGAACAAATGTACACACTGATAGGAGTGTCTTTCATACGCATATGATTATCATTGGTTCTTTTCTCTGTTTTTTTGATGCAGTTTAACCCTGACCACCAGTCCAACACACCCCACCACAAGCACTCCTGCGTGGAGGTGGGCTCCTGCTGCTCCCCCATCATCGATAGCTGCAACATCCGCAGTCGCTCACAAGGTAGAGCAAGGGGTACAAGTGTTTTTATTTATCAAGCCCCCCCCCCCCTCCCTCCCCACACTACCCCAAACCTTTTAGCACATTTGTCATCTCATGCACACCCTTTAAAAGTAATGGACGCCATTTGCAAACATTCAAAAATGAAACTGTCAAAATATCATGAAACATCCTACTTATTGTAAGTAAATAATAGGAACATGCATCCTGTGAAATCAATGCGCCTAGAATACTGTCATTTTCAAAAATAGAGGAATGTCCTCATTCATTTCCTCGCGATTGTTAGGACCAAACCATTGCACTTTCAACGTGAACCTATGCTTTGCGTCAAGCAAAATGAAGATACATTCCTTGAATCGGCAAAAACACTTTTTTTGCAAACAGTGTCTGATACCATTTAATGGTGTATAGAAATAGACAAAATACAACATGTGTCTCTGAAACAATGATGAGTATGCAAGATATAAAGGTTTTTTAATTTGCGTGTCAGTAATTATCAAGAATTTGAACGGAAAACATCGGTCTTACTCACCTACCCTTAAAAGCCACCCCCCCCCAAAAAAAACACCTCAAATAGCTGGCCTAATGTTTCGGTCCTAAGCAAGAAACAAACATACAAGGAACACACAGGCGTGCAAGGGTGGAAGGAGAAACACAATAGCGGGGATTAAACAGGGGAAGGACCAAGAGCTGTGGCAGTAGGGGAAGATCAAAGAGAACGAAGAGAGGGAATGGGGCAGGAGAAGGAACAAAGGAGTGTGGTTGTGGGTGAGGATCAAAGGGGATAAAAAGGGAGGGATGATGCTGGGGGAAGAAGCAAAGGAGTGTGGCAGTGCACGAAGTGTTAGATAAATAGGAGGGTAATAAACAAAATTGCACATAACTTACCCGTCCCTGGTGTCCAAAACTGGGCACGAAAGTCTTGGCGTTTGTGTCTGAACTTGTATCGAACTTTAATAGAAATTTCTTTTAAGCTTTTATGAATATATATTGTCAAGCAATCCATTAAAATTTAGGGTGTTCATTGTGTGATATCTTTTTGTCATCTTGGCATCCTTTTGCATTCCTCTGATTGTTTTCTTTTTTCTTAGGCTGATATGTCGGATCAAAATTCTCCCCCAAACATTTCTCAATTGATCTTAGTTTGGATCCGGATGAAAGTTTAAAGAATCCATTTGTACTGTTGGGGATTTCTTGCAATCAACACTACCATAGAGCATTTTAGTCCTGTACCCAGAATTAGAACTTCCAACAGTGTGTTGACCCTTGTGTGTCTTTGCTGTTCATTTACCAGTGGGTGCAGCCGTTAGTGTCAGTGGCAAGAACGCAGCGCCCACCGTCAAGAATTGTGTCATCAGTGACTGTGAGAACGTAGGACTGTTCATCAATGACCACGCCCAGGTAAGAAGCTTTGGAAAAATATTCCATTCAAATCATGAAGACATTGCTTTCAAAACACATAAGGGCCTCTGTGATTTGATAAATTAAGGAACATTGTTTGAGAGAGATCTCAAATTTTACGTGTAGATAATGTAGCTGATATGTTGAAAGTCATTATGTTGGTAAAGGTCTAAGTAATGGTGTGAACTATGAGTAACAAATTGCTTTTACTTGTGAGTTTTTGTCTACAATTGTTCATTATTACTCATGGCTCAAATATGTGATGTGATCAAGCTAAATGAGTCGTTTGTCAGGAACTTTCATTTGGAGATCCAGGCTAAAAAAAGGGCCACTTCTTCACATCACTTCTTCACATTTCTTGGTGTTCTGACTTCCATAATTATTAAACTAAAGATGGTACCAGCATGCGGCTTTCGGTTTTCACAGCAGTAATGCTGAGATTGTGCTGTTTTCAAATCTGTAAAAAAAAATATATATTGAACAGGGTTGACAAACGACTCATTTAGCTTGATCGCATCACATATTCTCACACTGTATAGACTAATTCGACGACAGCCATTTTCTGAGGTGGCACTGCGGTGGCACCAGGCTCATTTGAGTCGCACTCAGGTAGTACACATGCACTCTGGGCTCCTTCCACCAAAAGTGTTACCAAAATGTGTGCACACCTCGTCTTTAAGAATCCATGCAGCATTTTTGCGAGTGTGGCACCACCTCAAATATGGCTTCTTATTTTGTTTGCCCGTTTACACTATACTTGCTTGCCTTAGACAAGTTCAAACCCTGCAGATTGGAGCTAACACTGATACATATTTTTTTCCCAGGGTCACTTTATGGACTGTGAAATCAGCGGCAACGCCCTAGCCGGTATCTGGGTCAAGAACCATGCCAATCCCCTCATCAGACGGTGTCATATTCACCACGGTAGGGACGTGGGCGTCTTCACTTTTGACAATGGCATGGTGAGTTGATTAGTGTGTTAGGGACCAATAAAAAAGTCACTGAAGTAGCCGAGGACCCTGATAAGCATTTCAAGTCTGTGATAAGCAAGATTGAAATTCATTGATGTACCTTATATACACAAGTCATAGTTCAGAGCAGTAGGCCGATTCATTGAACCCTGCTCCATCGTATTTTGACCAGTCACAGCCGTGATTCATGTTTCATGTGTCCAGAAATGTGTGACATGCGTGCACCAGTGTTGTAGTGGAGAACATTTCCACGAGTACGAGTACTTGCCATGAGTACGAGTTCAAGGCAATTTTTTCCATGAGTACAAGTACCAAAAATTGTACTTGTATTCGTACTCGAGTACATTGAAATTTGCTCCTACTTGTGGAAAGTACTCATACTTTCCACAAGTAGGAGCAAATTTCAATGTGTCACGTGCTTTCAAGGGCTTTTTGCTGCCAAAGTAGGCATTAATCAGATGCAGAAGCCTCCCAAACAATAGAAAACTGGCTCTTTTCCTGCATGTAGCTCTTCAATTATTTTTTTAATTCTTACAGGAGAACATGTGCAAGAGTAGGAGTACAAGTATGAGTACTTTATCATGAGTACGAGTAGGAGTAATTTTTTTCTTACGAGTAGGAGTCCATGTTCATAAGTATGAGTATGAGTACCAAAAGAATGTACTCGAGTACGAGTAATACAACACTGGGGTGTACCCGTGTAACCATCTACATTTATGCCTAAGGTATCACATTCAACAAACGCCTTGCTGAGTACATTCTCAAGATAGATGTTAAATAAGCTGGAGTTAACAGGCAACTTTGTCACACGTCATTAGTAGTAGAGAATCAAGTCTGTGAGATCATTCTTTACTCTATTGCAAAATTTGGCCATACTAAAGCCCGGTTCATGCGAATGCGAATGCCAAGCGAATTTGATGTCATGAAACATTCGCTGCGAAATTCGCCCGAGTTGAAATATGTTCAACTTTTACGAATTCGCAGCGCAAATACTTGCCACGACGTCACAAATTCGCGTTTGCTTTCGCTTTCGCGCAGAGTATGAACCGGGCTTAATAGAGATCTTCTATCAGGTAAATGAGTTTCCTGGTGATGCCATACTGCTGCAGTTAGCTGGAAACGTCCTCTTGTAGTCACTGAAGACGACATGCTCTTGTGAGAGAAAACCTCACACAGTTGGATGGTACTTGAAACCAAGACTTGTTGCTTGGAAGTTCAAATGTCTTAGCACTCAACCAACAAAATTGCATGGGTCCGTTGCAAATTCAGATTTAAATTAGTGATCCACTGTGTTTTTATGGAACTTGTGCTGGTCTCCGAGGGGTGAGCCTCTAATCCGCTATGTGCCTGATTCACTGAATCACCGTCACTTGTGCATTCACCTTGGCCATCAAAATTGAAAATCTCTGGCTGTAACCAAATGTTTTCTTGTCTGTGCCACAGGGTCATTTTGACAGATGCGACATCCATCATAACCGGATAGCAGGCTTTGAGGTCAAGGCAGGAGCCAACCCTACGGTGGTGCACTGTGAGATCCATCATGGCCAGACGGGAGGCATCTACGTCCACGAGAACGGCAGGGGGGAGTTCCTGGAGAACAAAATCCACTCAAATACCTTCGCCGGTGTCTGGGTGACGTCAAACAGTGATCCCACAATCAGGTACAGACTTCCTGCGCATAGACCCCAATTAGGTGACCGCAAATAGCTGAGTCAAACCAGTCACAAGCACTGTGAGAAATTTCAAGAGAATGCCTCATATTTACTGCATGAACATTAATGCTGGGGTGAGCAGCTACGCACCCTGAGGAAAGTCAAGTTAATAAGCAATAAGGATCTTCCACATCTCTTCAATTGAAGTCTTTGCTGATTGGGGCTGGCTTCCTCAACTACACAATATGTGGAGGGTATTGGCATATCCACTTCTCCGGCTGTAGCTGGAATTCCGTCTTTTTCATGATTTGGAGAAAAATACTCCAGCATTCCATCCCTTCACACTTACAGGCTGGAAACTAGATCTTGTTGCGCACACGGAGAAAAAGATGTTACGTGTTGTCATTTAGTCCGTAGGAAAAATTGTAGCATGTTGTTTGATAGTTGTTCATGAACCAATACAAAAATTGGTTACATGCTACATGTTGTCAGCGTGCTAGACTCGTTCCGAGTGCACTCAATCAAGTGTAGGTTTTCTGCAAAGTTTCACCGCAATCACATTGTACGGCGAACGATAGTTTACAAGCTAAGTGTACTGGTGTACGAGTCTCAGATCAGTGTGCATGCACTGCTCCGTGATGATCACCATGCTAGCGCGTTACACGTATGTATGTATGTATTGTACATTTGTTATTGACATCTGTAACATTTGTGGTACTGCGACGTGAGAATATATTGTTTATTGTGATCGTGCCAAGTTTTTTCTGGCCATGGAGCAAAAATCCACTGGCATCGCTGCACAAGGAATTACTGTGATTGTGAACTACATTGACAACCGAAACAATAATACAATGCCATCTCTGTTTGCTATTTTCTCTTTTCAGGGGCAACGAGATTTTCAATGGGCATCAGGGTGGGGTGTACATATTTGGGGAGGGGCGGGGTTTGATAGAGAACAACGACATCCACAGTAACGCGCTGGCCGGCATCCAAATCCGAACCAACAGTAATCCCATCATCAGGGGCAACCGCATTCACGACGGCCAACACGGCGGTATTTATGTGGTGAGTAAAACCAATCTCAACCCCCAAAAATGGTGAATCATTGTAGTTTTTTGTATTACTCGTTTGAAGTACATCTAGTTAGTTGAGAACAAATGGTTGTCTCAAAGACCACATCCGTTAACAGCTGTAAGCCAGCTGTTGACTTCGTGCTTATGCTTGGATACAATAGGTACATGTATATATGTATTTGTGTAAGTAGTTTTCCATGACAGAGCCTGAACTCGGGCACTCCCTGTGACCAATGGGTTCTATTCATGACAGATTACTTGAGCTGCACTGTGATGATTGAAAATTAACAGCGTTTTTTCCCCGCAATTTTCCAGCACTGTGGACACAAAACATTGAACAGCTCAGTAGAACTATGTGTGCTATAAATTAACCCTAACAGAACTCAACCCATCAAACCCCAACAGCATGTTTTGTTGGAATCAGTCAGGATGGGTACAGTACCCCTAAACTGACAGTCTTTTACATTGGGTTGGCACACCTCCAGAAACAAAGTCAGAAATATGTGTGTGCAGTTTCCCATATGGTGTTGGAATTTGCCGGGATGGGTATGGTTCCTAGTAAATCATGCTAGGGAGTTAGGGTTAATAGCCCTTAAATCGGTCCCTTTTGTGACATCACAACAACTGCAAATGGTGCCCATTGCCTTCAAGGTTCTGTAGTTTTGAGGCAGACATGGGAAATTGAACCACCCATTGACTTACTGCATTCGTAATGATCTTCTTGTGTGTGTAGCATGAAAAGGGTAAAGGGCTGATCATAGAGAATGAAGTATACAGCAACACGCTGGCCGGAGTCTGGGTGACAACAGGTAGCTGTCCAGAGCTCAGGAGGAATAGAATACACAGCGGCAAACAGGTCAGTCAGTGTCAGCAAGACACTTTACTACAATGCATTTGCATTAAGTTGGATAAGTTGGATCGCAATCCACTTTACTTTCAGATTTGTTGGTTATCCTTCTTTGTTCAGGATTTTAGTTAACGCTTATCATAATTTGTTTGTATTAGGTGGGAGTGTACTTCTATGACAATGGCCACGGCACGTTGGAGGACAATGACATCTTCAATCACATGTACTCTGGGGTGCAGATCAGGACAGGCAGTGACCCTATCATCAGACGCAACAAGATCTGGGGCGGGCAGAACGGCGGAATCCTGGTCTACAACGGAGGTAAAGTTGACAGACACATAGTTGGGAGGGGGGAAAAAAGATTTGTAGCACCGTTTCTGTACTGGTTTCAAAATCTTACAATAAATATACCTACAATTTTGTTACGCAGCTTCAAAAAAAAATCAATTAGTGCCTGTACTGTTGGGTGGTACCATTGAAGGGGTAATCATATCCTGCATATTATCAGTGGCTTGATTTTGCCTTCCTCATTCCTGTAACATCTCCAAAATCTCACAGTGATTTCTGAAGGATTTGGAAGGGTTAAGGGCCCATCTTAATTAATATCCGGGACGAATTCCGGACAAGTTGCGGGTAGAAGCATTCACTTTGTCTGGAAGAAGCTCTGCATTTGTCCCCGACATGTTCCGGGGAAATTGAAATTCCTTTGAGGTAATCTTCTGTAGAGTATGGATAACACTTCAAATCCCTGCACAATTCTTTTGTGTGGTTAAGCTCAGGGTAAGCAGGCAGATTCGGGCACGCATCACTACTCTGAAACTGACCTGCAGGGTTTTAAAAGGTTTTTACATAGTACTCTGAATATTGACTTCCCACTAGGAGGGTTACACGTACACAATGAAGTTTTAGACTTTTAAGATTTACACTGATTTTTCCATCCCAACTGCCAGGTCTCGGTGTACTGGAGTACAATGAGATATTTGACAACGCCATGGCGGGTGTCTGGATCAAGACCGACAGCAACCCTCACCTACGATACAACAAGATACATGACGGCAGAGATGGGGGAATCTGTATCTTCAATGGAGGAAGGGGTGAGTTAACAAGGCTCGAAGAATGACCACCCGAGAATAACACCTCACCCAAAGATTCTGTATCTTGATTGGCTGAGAGGGAGTCACATGGCATTGGCTACTTAATATCTGGCTGTGATGAGCCATAAAGACAATACAACGGCTGCCTCGGTCTGAACAAATACTACCTGTATATAAATCAGTGTAGCAACAAGAGGTCTGTGTGTACATGCATATGGGTGTGTGCGTTGCACATATTGTTCCCATGTGCTACAGAGTTGGGGTCAAACATTTCACGTAGGGGTAGTTTGGAAAAGTGCCAGAAAATGTTCAACTAATTTAAGATTGAAATAGAAGTACATGTACATTTCAATTGGATTTTGGTGAAATTAATCAGTTGTTTGATATTTATTAAGAAGTGTTTATTTGTATCAAAATTAAGAATATAGGCCTAAGACATTGATGCACTAGTTGTTTACTGACTCTGCATCGGAGATTTTCTTAATTTTTTCTTAATTTGTTTATGATTATATGGCAATTGACCAGGATGGCCCACGAAAAGTCTTGTCGACTTATTTCCAGTGGGTCCCTTGGTAGAAGATGTGGAAGGAAATTACAGTTCTAGTGGTGGGAGGAAAACCCCAGAATGATATTGTAGGGTACCAGATCAGGAAGGAACTGAAAATACAATCCACATATTGGCCCAGGCGGGATTTGAACCCAGGTCACAGCGGTGGAAGGCGAGGAAAGTACCGCTATGCCAACTTATTGTGGTACCTGCTTCTCAAAGTTGACATATTTGTATATTTTATCCCGTTTCCTTCCAACCCCCAGGCTTACTGGAAGAGAACGAGATCTTCCGTAACACCCAGGCGGGCGTCCTGATCAGTTCCCAGAGCCACCCTAAGCTCAAGCGGAATAAGATCTACGACGGCCTGGCAGCGGGTATAGAGATCACTAACAACGCCACGGCTTACCTAGAGGGAAATCACGTCTTCAATAACAAGTTTGCTGGCATCTGCCTGGCTACGGGGGTCAACCCGGAAATGAAAGGTGGGTTTGGGTTAAAACAAAGATTTACATGAAATTATTAAACTTCTCATTCTCGCATATGCAGAATACTGTCCTGAGCCCTGACCTCAGGACTTTATTTTATGTGTTCACATTATATATCGAAGTCACATGGAATACAATTGCAAATACTGTGCTCTGAATGCAGTGCGCTAGATTTAACGGCAAAAATTATTCTATTCGGAAAATTAATGTTGTTGAGAAAAGCATATTTCTGTTCTGGAAATAAACTTGATAGTTCGTTTGCTAACTGAAGTTATAAATTCCTACTAAAAAAAACCCACTAAATTGTGGTGTCAAGCCCTCTACAGCCCCATTCCCTACACCCCCTTTTTTCGGTAATTTAAACAATATGCTCTGATCTTTGTAAGAGAGTGAAAGATTCCCAAGTTGTGATGTGATTAGGTGGAGTTGGCACGTTCAAATGTATAGAACTCTGGAAACCAGGATATTTATTATCATGTGATGTTTCTGAAAACTTCCAATATATGCAGACTTTAACCATGCAAGTCTTTAATTCGTCGGGTGCACCACGAAGTGACGTATCGTCTATGATCTTTGTGCACACGATTCGTCACTTCGTGGTGCGACCGACAAATTATTATCTAAATGGTAACGAGGGATTTCTTTTCTCTCTTAACAGATAACAAGGTGCATGGTAATAAGAATGCCATAGAGAAGGCAGTCAAGTGTGGCCGCTGCCTCTACAAGATCTCCAGCTATACCAGCTACCCTATGCACGACTTCTACAGGTCAGTCATCCTGGTGTACCTATGTTCCTCTTGTTAGGAATCCCCCCCCCCCAACACACACACACACAAATACCAATACAACTGTAGCTTGCTAGCCTGGAGACACTTTTGGCGAAAAAGAGAGTGAAAAAAATATCTTCAAGGTTGGAGATGGGAGGAAACTCCAAATGAATATTCCGGGGACAACCAAAGAAAACGAGCTGTGACTAAAAACTTTAAAAAAAACCTTCAGGCCTGGGTGGCTTGGAACCTGGGTGTCAGAGGAGGAAGGATAGGACCACTGTGCTGATGCCAATTCTTACCTTTATTCTCAGAAATGATCAAAAAGAAATCAAAAGCTGGCCCTTGCGTATGATGATTTTGCTTGTTAGTCCGGAAGTTGTGTTAATGCAGTAATAAGGGCTGAGCCAAAATACTGAATATTAAAATATTCCATCTTCCATCAAAAATCCAAACAGCATTTACAAAATGTGAGCGGTCTCATGTAGGTAAGGAAAAACGTCCACAATGGTATTTTAAAGTTGCGTGGTTTTATTGTTCGTCGAATGCCACACTTTTGTGAAAAAGCCACTTTTATATGCATGATTTGAGAGCCTGCTTGAGGATATTAGCTCAGATTTCTTGTTTAAATCTCTCAAATATCAGCCATTCCGCTATCTCGAAAAAATATGCGGACGGATACATACATGATGTTTTCTTTATAAATATTGTTTGTTAATTTTTCAACAAACGCAAATGCACACAAATCCCCATTGGCAGCCAGTTGAGGCTAGCTGTAGCACATGTAAAACTTGATCAGCACATTTGAATATTCGATCAAGTGCAAGTTAGAATAATCGAATACTAAGTCATGCGACAATGTACAGCATTTGCAATGATACCATTAGAGGAGTGTCGTTACACGTACAAATCCATTAGGCCTACTGGTTGCAAAATGCATGCTTGGCACAATTGCAGAATACCCCGCCACTCGATCTATGCACCTCATAGCCGGCTACGAGGTCACGGTTGATTGCCCTCAATAAACCTTCTCAGCGCTACTTGTATGTACTATGCTTCATGCTCCACTGCATTCCCACTCCGTATCCGCGTAGCCGGCAACAGGGTACGGTAGTTGGTTGGGACTTCCAATTTTTTCAGCAACTCCCATTACTTTTGTGTTGTTTCGTTCTCAAGCATATCAAGGGACTCCAACTTCGTATCCGCGTAGCCGGCAACAGTATGTTAGATTGCAGTTACAATTTTTTCAGCAACTCTTATTGCTTTTGTGTTGCTTCATTGCTTCGAAGGGGACCTCCACTCAGTGTCCGCGTAGCTGGCAACAATTGGTTTGGACTTGATTGAATTGTTTCTTTTCCAGTGATTCCAACCTCGTAGCCAGATGATTTTAGGGGTGTATTTCCGAGTGGCGGGGTATTCTGCAATTACTCCGCACTCTGTATGAAAGGTGCCAAGTTGTTTCCTGACATACCGTATTATTTTGTGCGTTTCTCAACAGGTGCAAAACATGCAACACAACGGACCGCAACGCCATCTGTGTCAACTGCATCAGGCGGTGCCATTCAGGCCATGATGTAGAGTTTGTCACGCACGACAGGTAAACAAACAAAAGAAGAAGGGACTTTGTTTTATTTGCATTTTTTTCCATTGATGCATGACCAAATTAAACCTAGTATCTGGAGACATTTTAGAAATAATAATAATTTGGCTTTGAGAGAGATCCTGATAGGTTCAAAATGTCAGGGCCTCTAAGCCTTTGAGATTTATACATTTTCGGTCAATTCAGTCAGGTGGCAGTTTGCAGCCTTAATTTCAAACAAATTGTACAAAACGTTCTCCAAATTATCTTTCCAAACAGAAATTTAAATACAGGACTACATTTTAACTTGAAAGCTAATTGTTTCTTACTTAGAAAAGCTGAGAAGTGGCCACTAAAACCAGGGCCCAATTTCAAGGCTCTAACCGTAGCATTCTGTGCTTACAGCCACCTTTCTGTGCTAACCATGTAAGCACAGAATCCTTAGTTACGGGATGCACGCATGCACAGAAGCCAAAATCTCGCTAACCCTTGAAATATGCTAACCATAAGCACAGAATTTCTGCGGGGATTTTTCGCTAACAGAGTCATGAAATTGGGCCCAGGACACCAAACAGCATTCACATTTGGAAAACCACAAGTTTGCCAATGTTGGCCGCAGATTGTGTCAACTAGTATCTTTGTTTCTTTTGTCTTCTCCACGCAACAGGTTTTTCTGCGATTGTGGCGCCGGTACCCTGTCCCTCCAATGCCAACTTGCTGGGGAACCCACCAAGGACACCGACACGCTGTACGACTCGGCGGCACCCATCGAGTCGCACACCCTAATGGTCAACTAGCGACGATTTCCCCGTTAACCCTCTTCCCCAACTACTACCTGCCTTTTCCAACCCCACCCCAAACACTTCCACCGCATCGTTTCATCGGTTCAACAGTCGGCATACACATTCACAAGTACTGTATGGTAGAGACAACAGAAAAATATCATTGCTGTACCAGTTTTCTTGCAATATGGAATCTTATTTGCGAAACCCTGTAAAACTTCACCATTATTTCACTCCTTTTGTACTCATTCACCGTTTTTGCATGAGTTGACATCTTTCGAACCTTAAACGCCGGCACACACAATCCATAAGGGCACTAGACCAAAAAAGGGCGCCGTTTTCTTAAAACTACTCGGCACACAAAGTACGTTTCAAAATGTTGAGGTTTTGCTGAGCAAAACCAAGCGTGCATTGAAAAGCCCATTTTGTGTTTGTGTTCTGTGCGTGAACTGTTCCAAGCATTTTTTCAGGGTGCTATGGGGAGTCCGACCCTGTATGTATAATCAATGGCCGCCTAGTTACAGCCTCCACAGGATGGACGCGTTGTCACAGCTTTGCCATTCACGCCTGAATGCTGCCGCGGGAAATGATCTTCATAAGCCAAAAAGCACAGTCACTCATTTTGAGTCAGTGGAGACGTAGTGCATGAACAAGTAATGGTGGCCAAGTTATGGTGCGCATTGTCACTGCTCATATACCACTCATGGTGCTGTCATGGGTACGGTGGAAAAAAATTGGACAAGTCTTGCGTTATTTGCATCGCTGTTGTCGGTGGAATGCATCAAAAGCTGTCGACCACATCACCATCGTCATTTTTTTTCCCAGAGTCAATCTATACGATATGTTTCTGATGTGAGTAGGCCCATGCACAAGTCAACAGTGTACAAGATAGGTTGTTGGCTTTACTCGGCTGCAAGCCATGCCTCCTCAAAAGTCAAATCGATAAGGCAGCGAAAAACCTTGAGGACTTGCGTACGGGTTGCCGTTTAGAGGTGAAGACATTGGGAAAGTGGGCATTACGTTTGGAGATTGTTCAATCTATTCTGTTGCCTGACTCCTCTGTGGTCGCAGAAGACTTACTGATAACCGAGACGCTAAGAAATGGGGTCAGGTGACATGGTCAGGTGACATGGTCAGGTGACATGGTCAGGTGACATGGTCAGGTGACATCACGGAGTAATGGTAGCATAATCGTCAGAATGTCAAACTTGATGCGTTTTGCTGCAGTACGACAAATACTTCAATCGCCGCGTGGGCTTCGCAGCATAGATATGTATTTATTATTTAACGATCACTGGGTTCTGATTGAGATATTGGGTACAACAGAAAATGGTTCATCCATTCTGGTAAGAAAAAAAATGCTCCAGTCAATATCTTTGTTCAACTTTAAAAAAAAAAAATCATAATGCACCTAGTCAGTTTTCCCTTTTGCGGCTCATTTGAAAGCTAATGAGAGTGATGACGAACTGAATGGGTTGTTTTGTCTCCCAGTTTAAAAGGTCGAGTAAAGGAGAGAAGATCAAGTTCTGTGGTGGCAGAGTTCAGCTCACTTTGTGGGAAACTTTGGCAGAAATTGAAATTTTCCAGCCAAAAGAGATGTATTTTTGTCATTAATATTTATTATTAAATCTGACTTATCAAAAAAAACGACAAAAATGAACAGCATTTTTCCTTTTTCTTTTTTCATTGATGAATTCCAATTATCTTATTGGACATCCGTGGTCTTAAGTATTAAAAAAAAATTATCAAATTAAATATCAAATTACGATTTTGATTTACCCTTTGATCAAATTGACGATTGATTGCGAGGAGAATGATTTGAAATTAAGCACGGGGACATAACAATAACATGCCTAAAAGCAATTTTTTTTTTTCTTCTCTAAATGTGCTTCCTGGACGGCTTAAAATGTTCGTGTTTGGTTGTAGAGTTTTTATAAGGTTCATCTCATAACCAAATCAACTCATTTTTTTACACGTAGATGTGACTTAGTTATGTGTTTTTGGTTTGTTTTTGTCACCACAAATTTGCAGTATTTCTAAGTGCCATGCCTTTGCCCCTTGGCGGTTAAATTGTAAAACAGTCGTAGCGGTCCACAAAGTAGTGTTCATTGTTTTTACATTTGAGTGTCATTTGTCATTATGTTTTCATTTGTTCAACCATGGATCCTCTATACAAGGATAAACGACTTCCCCAAATATCTGGTTACATGCGCGATACGTCCCTTGCGCGTTGTGCGTGCGCATATGTGAGACTCGGTGCGCAACTGCAGGTGAATTTCTGACGGGTTTCAATGAGATTTCGTGTAGGCCGGCGCCAGCTGTCGGGGAGTCATGGCGTGCGCGCATTATTGTATATGTTCTATTCTTTGTTCTGTGCGCGGACGCGTAGTATCACGCATGTAGACAATCCATTCCATGCATTTTGTACACAAGCTCAGATGAGTCGTTTAATCCTTGCGTAGAAGATCCGTGGTTCAACTAAGTACAAGACTGACGCTATCCAAACTACAAGTGTTTTTAAGACTTTTATACAAACTGATGTCCAAAAAAATGTCCTTCACAAACACAAAATTTAATTTTGGGATGAAAAAACCAAAATGGCGTCCCCCCATTAGTCTTGCACCAAATATCACCTTGTATTTTTCAAAGGAATTTGCATTCATTTTGGTTCAGTTTTCCCTGCACCTGACTCTAAAGGCCAAGTAATTAAAAAAAAAAAAATATAGAAAAAAAAATGAAAATTTCAATTGCAATTTGTTACAATAAAAACACAAAAAGGTTTTTGCAGACATATGCACTGGTGCTGTAGGATTACTAACAACTGCAACGGGCAGGGTTTTTTTCCCCCTTGTTTATTTGTTGTTAGGGTAGCTTTTGATTTTTATTTATTAGTGATGTAAGTTTGAACACGTAGCAGTAAAAAAAAAAAGTGTCACACGTTACTCTCCACATTTTGTACTTAAAACATGTAATGTTTCCGAAGGGTTGAGATATTATCTTCTTTTTTTTTATGACACCAAAAGATTGAAATAAATTCAAGGCATTCTTGCACCTAAGCATGTGTTCTTTTTTCCTTTTTTTTTTTAATTGATAAGATATATGCTTCATGCAAATGGTTTTTTTTTTTAATTTTACAATATCGGAGCAGCAAGACTGATGTCATTGTGTGCAACTGTTGGATATGTATGTTTTGTTGTGTAGGTATTATCACATCTGTACCGAATGAGTGTATTTATTATTTGCCAAAGTAACCGAGCAGGCATTATTTTTTACGACAATCTTGATTCAACATTATTTAAAAATGAGAAGATTATCAGTTGATAGACATTTGATGTCTCTTCGATGCAACAGTTCTCTGAAATCAGTCCATACCGTATTGGATGTGAACCAACGAGCTTGTCCTTGCAAGCTCGGTAGTTCAATGGCGAGACATCTGCCCTACTAAGCAGGAGGTTTGGGGTTCGACTCCCACTCAAGTCAGCTTGTGATTTCGTCCGTTGACAAGCTCTTGGAACACACTGAGCATACATTGCTTGTAAATTATTTTGGATAAATTCAAACTGTTCTCCTTACAAGCTGTCTTTATAAAACATGTAGAAAGGTGTCACCCAAACAAGCAGGGAAAAAAATTGGTAAAAAAATGTTGTGCAAGCTGATTTTGGACTTACAGAAAAGCGTCACATTCATCATTTGTACTGCACTGAATGGAATCATTTTGATATTGGTGTTGATTGATTAATTTCAAGATTTAAGTGTTTCTTTTTCTGTTACCTTGTTTTTGCATTTTTTATGAAGCTGCTTTACTCTGTGTTTGGCACTGGCAAAGTGGTCTAAAGTTGAGTATTGTGCTTATGAGCTATTGGAATAAGTTTCGCTTACACTGTTCAAATGAGGGGGGGGGAGTTTCACTACAGACTTGGATAGTGCCATTTCACATTTTAAAGAGGTTGTGGAATGCTGAAAGTCGTTTTGTTTTTTATATTTTTTTTATTGTAGAGTAGACCCATATATATCATAATGACAAACTCCCATTCTTTTGTAATGTGCGTTTATATGTTTATAAAACTGAAATTCATTGAGTAATTTGTTGGTCGGCGAGCGCATAATTGAAATCAATAGTCGTCGGGTTCTTCGTAAAATCAGAAAAATCTTGACGTAATAAACAGGACTCGTTTATACTACGCTGCATAGGGAGTCCTGTTTATTACGTCACGATTTACTATGTTTTATTTGCTGCCCCCAACGACGACTTTTACAGAAATTGCACGTTCAGGTCGAAACAGGACCTGAAAAACAGCTCTCAAAAGTACCCTTTGTATTCATCTCATGACAGAAACAATAGTCGTTTTTATTTCATCACACCTTAGGCTACATATACCCGAAAAATGACGGAAATGTCTTCGAGCATTCCACAACCTCTTTAAGGGATTGAATCTTATCAAAGACAACTCACCGGCAACTAAGCATGTATATGAACTACTTGTAGCTTTGGAAGGATTTTGTAATCATTTTAATAGAACAAAACCATCTTTGATCTTTTGTGTTGTATTTTTGTTTTGAATGAAATGCGTGTTCCTATCCTTCAAATCAACTTTGAAATTATACAATGATTTTTTTTTTTATGTACATAAATCTAATTTAAAGGCAGGAAATATGAAACAAAGAACCTCATATGACTGCAAAAAAAAAAACCAGTTCATTCTGCCAACGAAATATCACTTTTACAATGCAAAGCCTATTTCAAAATATCTGGAAAACTTATCACAAGCTAGACTGCAATAAATAACAAGGGTTGAATATAAACATGTACCATCAGTAGTTACTGTTACCTCGTAGCATTTTTAGTTTGTGTGTTCGGCCTGTTTTCTCTTTACAAGTATATCGGGAACAGATATAAACACATCAGTGTCATATCTCAACAAGATCCCATTTCTCCTTCCACATTACATAGTCTGCCTTAAATTCAAGTTATATGTATATTGTGATGTTCAGCACTGCAAAGATTATTCAAAATGAGGAGTGTTGTGGACACATTGGGAAATCATATCTTGTAATTTTGGAATTCTTTGTAGTGTAGGGATGGATTATACATGTACCAAGTTTCAAATTTCAAAATGCATTTTTATTTTTTTTTACATTCATTTTTTTGAGCAAATTTCAATTTCACTTTGCACAAAAACGTGTCTTATGTCTTATTTTAGCACATTATATGCATTTTGTGTACAGCAGCACCAGCGAAACTAACCCCAGTTGTCTATAAACTAAAGAGTTAACGCTTTAGTAGTCTTCAAACAAACCTGTAAAACTTGGTTAGACTGTAAACGACTGCATGACGTTTTTTTTTCCTTGAAAACTTAAGAGGAAATGCAAATGAGTTTTGTGGCATTTGAATAACAAAGTTAAATTATAGATTTCTTAGTCTGACTGGCTTAAAAATTAATTGATGCTGCATTTTATGAATGGGATTTTTTTGTTATTTTTTTTTTTAATTTATGGGCTAAAAGTGATTTGTCATATTTTGCGATGTTCTTGACATACTAAACGTTTTCACAGTACTTGGGTTAAAGTCTTGAAAATGAAATACCTCAATCATTATTTAGTCGCACCGTGTTGGATTGCTGAATTTAATATCGCCATGTTGCAGAAATTAAGTTTGACTTTGGATGGACATGACAAATTGTTTAGCATGGATTAAGGGGTATTAAATCTGAATTTCAAAATACAAAAAATATATCCCAACATTAAAACAGTTCACTTTAACATTTTCAACCACATCGTCTAGTTTTCGTCCTTTGCACACGACTTGAAACCAAGCAATATGTCAGCAAGATTTATCTGTTTTGTTATGCCGTCTTTTTTTTAATGAAATGTTTTGTCTCAACTCACCATCTTTTAAAAAGAACTGAAGAAAAAAAACACTAGGGCTTTAATTTATAGAGCTAGTGAATATTTCATCCTGAAAACTTCCATGACTTGTTTGGTTAAATTTATAAAAGATTGACCACGTGCATGTTATGTATACATTTGTACAAATTAATGTCACCGTTTGTTTATATACAGCTGCCATTTTATTGTTTTTTTTGTTGTTGTTTTTTTATTTTATTTAAATTACCTCATTTGGGAATCATGAGCCTTGGGGTTTTGGAAAACTGGTCCCAGTCTCAATTTACCCACATGCCGAGATCACATATAGCATGCCATAAGCATGCGTGTTTTCCTCAAAGGTAAACTCAGACCTGGGTCATCTCAGAATGCTGCACTGGTGCCCTGCATATTTAAGGCAGTATTGGCAAAAGGGCTCTTACATAGGGACCGGTGTCATCCCCCGTGTTTCATGATTTCCACAATTCGGACAGTGTATACAGTTTCTGTATATAATTTCTTTTTTCCTGTTCTCTTTCAGATTGTAGTAATCGTAATTTTTTATCACTGCTGCACCCAGGATGCCTGTAGTTAATTTGTTTAGTTGGAGTTTTGCCCATTGTACTTACAGGGGAAGTAACAATGTACGACTTCTGATGCACTTTTGGCCTGTTTACAGTGGGTTAGGATTTGGTGATACTTCAGTGTTGAATGTGCCCCCACCCCCATTTTTTCTTTTGACAATGCGCATAATCAACATGCAGTAAGCCGCTGTACTGACGACATCACACTTTGTTTACATGTGTGCTTTCTTATGGGAGCCTGGTTGGATCGATGGTTCTTAGCCACATAGAAAAGCGCACAAGTAAACAAAGTGTGACGTCATCAGTACAGAGGCTTATCAAACCATTTTTGTTGCAAATGAACTTATTGTGCCATGATTGTTTAAGTCATATGCGTTAAAGGTTGTGAATAATTTAAAACATAATTGTGAAATCAAACCATTTTTTTAAAATTTGTCATACTTTTGTGTGGACAGAGTACGGTTTTGGGTTTATGGGCCATTTTAAACATTGATATATCACCATGTCTCTCAGCTGGCAGGTTACAATTATATTTTGCACTTTGTAAAAGAATTGAAATTAGACCTTTTTTCTTTCTTTCTTTCTTTTTTTGGTGAAGAAAAATAGTAGAGTGTACAGTACCCGAAGTAGAGAACGAAGTAGGATTGCGTTTTCACTGAGCTTGCTTCTTTGCAATATAGTATCATAACTATTAATATAAATTGTGAGACTTCTATTTTGTGGGGAGTCCTCGGAAAAAGAAATGAAGTATTTAAGGGCTGCTAATGTATTTTGGTCGATCGATTGTATGTTTATTGATATTATCATCATTCCTTTTTTTGGATTAGACGTGTCGGATTGTGATCTGTGTTTATCATCCGACGGACTTGAGGATTCATTCTTTGTAATATTCTGCATGGCAGTTTAAAAAACAAAAAACATGATTGGCCAAATAAAAAACGAGAGCGTGAGAGAGTGAGCGAATTTGATTGGCCGGATACTGGCCAATCAAAAAAGTTAAATTTTGCCGTCACTTGTCAACGTTTGTTTTTGAGTCAGATGTATAAAAATCTGCAAAAGTCTTTTTTTGGCTTTGCAAATTCTCATTTGTGAATATTGTGAAGGTTAAAAACCTGATAGACGGAACACATTAGAATGAACAACACGTGACTTCATTAAAATTTTGGCTTTTTCCATTTATTTTCTACAATACTTGTCCAAGTGCGACTATTTGGTCTAAAATTCGCCTTGAACCAAGAAAAAAATAATTTGATGAACATGGACCGTCTCAATACATTTCAGCTCCGGATCACTTTAAATAATCCAACTCACTATATTTAGTTCAAACAAAACAATTCTTGAGGCCAAGGGCTTGGGTTTGTTTTAAATAGAAACAGCTTCTATAGTCAACACTTGGTCAACACTAATTAGAGTGCCACTGAAGCGAACAATGAAAATATTAAGTACGTGAAATCTTTATTTTGTTCATGGTTGGAAAATGCCAACCCCTCCCCCCACCCCCACCAAAAAAGAAAATAGCTCAAAAACACAAACAAAAACACTAAAAATAATCACTCACATATATGCAACTTATTTTAAGCAAAATTGCTTAAATATTTACAAAGCATTTAATTATTTGTACAATTTGAGAAAAGTCCACTGACCACAACATCCATTAGGCTGCTGCCATCGCGAAGACGTTACGCATTTGTTCAGATTCTGAATATTAGTCGTGTGAATCTTGTGTTATACTTTTTATACTAGAACTGGTATGTACATGTCCTACATACACCCCCAGGACCGACAGACAAAGGGAGAATAACAGATTCTTTGTTGTCCTCGATTGTTCATCTTTTGTCCTCAATCGTCTGCTTATGTGCTTAGTCTATGGGCGTGTGTTATATTACAGGGACAAAGGGAAACACAATGCCTTGTCCTCAAGAGTTATGTTAAGTAGATGTGTGTGCATGCAGTGTGTCACGTCCACTGAAGCTCTCGAAAATTGTCACAAAGTGACATCTTCTGTTCAAAGACAGAGTTTTAAAAAGGCCACTATGGCCATGAGGCCAATACGGCTGTCCACTGGAGCTCTCGAACGTTGTCACTAAGTGCCATTTACTGTTCATGCACAGAGTTAAAAAAGGGCATGAGGCCAATACGGCTGTCTACTGAAGCTCTCGAAAGTTGTCACAAAGTGCCTTCTACTGCTCATGCACAGAGTCCAACAAAAGGCCACTATAGCCATGACGCCAATACGGCCGTGCTCAGATCACTTAGCCAAGACCGGCAATAACACACGAGTCTATGGGAAGTGGCTGCAGCCACTAGCCAGTGGCTTCCATAGGTGCGCGTGTTATATTCAGCTGTAGCCAAGTGATTCTGACACTGCGTTTAACTACACGTACCATTCTACTCCGAGAACACTAAGTCTCTATGAGGTCATTATGAGGCCACAATGAGGTAATTACGAGTCCATCACAAGGTTATTATGGGCCTGTTTGTTTCATTCCAGATCCTGATCGAGATCATGTGATTCAGCGTCGTGCGAAAACAAACAGAACTACTCTCGTGCATTGAATCTGTTAGGTACACAAATGTTCTCTGCTTCAGATTTTGTATGCAGGAGGGCAAATTTTTTGACAAGCTATCTATAATTTCCATAAAAAGTAAATCGGTCGTACTATTTTTAACCACGAAAATACATTCTAAAAGAATTATGAAGATAAATTGTCAAAAAAGCAATTAATGCTTCAAATCTACTAAAAACTTTCTCTTTCTATTCGTCACCCATGTCGCAATCTTTGATCTTGCTAATCCACCACGTGAGCATGCAGGATCCGTTAATATGTAAAACCGGAGCAGCTATCGACGTGTCAGATCGCTGATAGCAATCCATATCTGCGTGAAACAAACAAGCTCTATGAAGCCAATCAGAAGCAAAGATGAGGTCACTCTTGAGGCAACTACTATATCACTATAAATTCACTTTCAGGCCACTATTGACTCAGGGCACAAGTACCCCCTCAACGGTTGACAAAGGGAGAGTTGGGGGAGACCACTGGCAGGGACATTCCAATGCATTACTGTCAAGTGCATTGCTGTGGTACAAGAAGACTCTACAGGTTTGTACACATTCAAATTAAAATAAGTTGTGCGTGCTTCTAGCAGTGCACGCTAAAACCAGTAGGCGCACGCGGTGTGCCCCTCCCAATAGAGCTCTCAAAAGCAGTCACAAAGCTCCATATAACCATTATCCCTTCTCCTCCAACTCTGCGTTCTCTTTGTCCCACTCCGTCTGGAGTTCCGAGGCCACCTCGGTGAAGACGAGATCCCAGTCCCAGGGTTTGTCCTCCTCCATCACATCTTGCTCTGCTGACAAGACTTTGGTCAGCAGCTTCAAGTCGATGTCATTATCCTGACGAGAAGAAGTGTAAAAAGAAGAAACTTTATTTTATTTCAACGGGCTAGTTTGCTGCTTTGATGGTACGTGCACCAAATGGGTTTTTTTTTTGCTCTAAGCAAGTGAAGGTCTCTGCACGTCATCCAGATACACATGCCAGAATGTCATTTGAAACATCCAAAATAAAGGCAGAACACACTCCACAGATTCCACGCTTCTTCTGGTGTTTTGAATTCACGGAACTTTGACTTTCCATCGACCCCGGAAGTAAAAGTCAAACGACTTTGCGTATGCAAAAAGAATTGTTCACCATGGCATTTTCTAAAGGATCACAAAGTGTGAACACGATCGTTCATTTTGTTCATAAGTTATGATTGAAACAAAATGGTCACGTTTTAAAACTAAAATCGCTTGTAATTCGATAAATGATGACGTCATCATATGCACATCTCTGTATCAGGGTCGATGTTCATACCAAGTTTGAAGTTCATGCATTGTACAATTTGAAAGAAAAACTGTGGAGAAGTACTGTCCGGAAATAAAACAACCAACAACAAAGAAACAACTCAAAACCAAAGGGTGATGGGCACAGCACCATCACCCAACTAACAAGCCTTCCTACCAGTGTGAGTAGCTGTGAGTGTTTGAGTAGGTCATTGTCCAACTCCCTGTAAGTAGCGACTCGGTTGACTTGAACACTAGGAGGTGCAGCAATCTGGGTGGCCATGTCTTCCTCTTGCACATCATCCAAGTCCGGTATGACAGGAATGTCTGCCAAAAACAATCAGCATTTGAAACTACACTTTACTGTTGTTGCACCTTTAGAAAGGAACATAAGTTTCAATCACAGGTCAGAATCACAGGTCACAGGTACAAGTAAGGATATGAACAATGAATTTCACTCACAAAAAGTGTAGAGAAATCCGGCGGCAGCCATTTTCTACGGTGGCGCAAGGCTCACACGAGTTGCGCTCTGGGAGTACGCACACACTGCATGCTCCTTCGACCAATAAGAATACTAAAATGTTCTTGCGTCTCATCTTTAAGAACACGTGCAGCAAGCGCGTGAGCCTGACACCACCGCAGTAGAGCTTCTAATTCTGGTCGCCGGATTCCACTATAGGTAATCACAAACCACTTGCGTTCCCCTTTGCTATTTTTCACATTTCATCCTGAAAAATATATTCCTTTTCTAAATTGCTATTTTTCCTAGCAATACACATTTTGAACCAAAACAAATCGGCCCATGTTCAGTTATTGAATTAATTATTACTTTGACAATTTCGAATTAGTGGCTGACAGAAAATACTACCGTTCTTTGCGGGGTAGGCTGGTTCCTGCCCCACAATCAGTATCGATAATGTATGGACTGGGAGCCAGTCTGCGCACAAAGCGGATCGATGCCCAAAACAAAGACCTTTTAAGAGGGTTGCAGACATAACCAAAAAAGGAAAAGGAGGTTTTTTGGTTGGAATAAATCATGCAAGTTGAAAATTTATTTCACAAATAAAAAAACCAAATTTTTTGAAGAGCATGGGGAATGCAACTTAAAATGATTTATTTTCAGGTTTTTGAAAAAGAATGTGCAAAAAATGCTTGAACAAATTGTGAAATCAATCTTTTGTTTATCCTACCATCATCTGAATCATCTCTTCTTTGGGGGCTCTCGGGTCGTGCTCGTTCACTATAAAAACAAAACACAAAGGAAATATATATTAAGCTATTACAAATTCCCACAAACACCTGTGTTGCCGTACTGTTATTTCAGGGTTAAGTGCGTCCAAACACAATGTTGTATCACTCTGTGTAAGCTGTGTAACAGTTGGTGCATTAGTACTCTTATATAAATTACATGTACACGTATAACCACTTGGAGACATAAACAATCAGTCAAACTCCTGATAGTGTTTAAGTAATGGTCTATGTACATCAGATTCGAACCAGCCAACCGATCCCGTTAGCTCGGTGGTTGAGTGGTAAGATGTCTGCACTAGAAAGCAGGAGGTCGTGGGTTCGAGTCCCACCCGAGTGATTTTTTCCAACTTTCACACGGGAGGTAGCACACTGAGTATACAGTGTTTATACGTCGGTGAAGGGCAAAACCTAATTTGAAGTAATGGTCTTCCACTTTTTAATTTGATGCATGGTGGCATAAAAGATAGTTGAAAAGGAAAACAAGTAAAAGATTTGGCAATCAAACTAGGTAATAAAACAAAACACTACCGGAGGAAAACAGGTGACTACAATAACACATGTAGTTAATTGCATTGCTATCTTTGAAAACATGCAAACACGTCGTATGTTAAAACAATGTGCTAAAACCACAGCAAAGCAATTTGGCCCAAAAGCAACAGCTGAAGGAAAAAAACAAAAAAATAATAACAATAAAAAGAAATAAATAACTATAAATTGGGCACCAGAAATGTACACTCAAAGATGGAAAAGCTTTTCACACGCAGAAAGCCACACACTGCCTAAAGGAAAGTTGTCCGTTTTCTTCTTTTTAATGTTCCATGAAATTGTACAAGTTTATGTACATTATTAAGGTACAATGTACAGTGATACATTAGTGCAGGGGCGGATCCAGGAATTTTCACAGGGGGGGGGGGGTTCATCAGCAAAAAAAATCTGAAAATGTACACAGGTTTTTTTCTGCGGACACTTGACCTCCGTAAAATAAAAAACTGGGGGGGGGGGGGTGGTACCATATTTCAATAGGGGGCGCTGTTCAAATTCAACGATTATTAACACTAGATTACAGAATGGTGTACCGTATTTTGAACAGGCGGATTATACCAGTATTATTTTTGGGGGGTGTCACAGTGATTGGGGGGGGGGGGTGTTCGCATTATTTTTTTGGAATTTGTATGATAACTTTTTTTGTTGACAGAGCTGGGGGGGGGGGGGGTTTGACACCCAAAACCCTCCCCCTGGATCCGCGCCTGTAGTGATTGTATTGACTGACAAAATAATGTGAAGTTTTGGAAGGCCTGTGTTATGGGTCATAAGTGATGTGCTTTGACACCATACTTTTTTTGCAATAGCATGCAAGTACACTGCCTATTAAGGTGATGCATTTTCAAGCTAAAATGATGAAGACATTTATCAAGATTTGGATTGAGCAGGTCTTGAAGTTTGCTGAGTAATCTGAGTGAGGTGCAGAGATATAGAGTCCCTCACATATTCAGTAAATATCGACAACAGGATGCAATCAAATGTTTATTGCAAATTAATATGCAGCCACACATGAAAAGGAAAGCTGGTATAGATATGGTTCAGGACTCGAGCTTGGTGTTAACAGAAATAAACCTTTGGTGATGTTACTTTTGTTCAGTTTTGATTTTGTCCACTGTTTCAGCACTACGCAAATTTAAACTTTGTATATTCACAGAAAATGTGAATTTCTGTTCGATCCTGAACCAGATCTTTGAGCTTCACACTTACTCAGCGAAGGACTGCAGTTCATCAGCTCTCTCCGACCTTCACAAAAGGGGTCGTCATGATCAGCGTAAAAACAAGTCAGGAATTAATGACAGGAGGACTACACATGCAATGGGATGGATGGATCCATTGATTTGGGAGTGGTTTTTGTCTGGGTGGAAACTCGATTGAGCTCCTCCCCAACCCAGTTCCAGAATTTACTTAAATGCAACAATGCACAACTGAACTGACTAGCCAGACTTGCAGCCGATTTCAAAAACAGTGTGTTGCTTGTGCCATGCGTAGGACAGGCTGCACAAGAATCATGATTAGTCAAATAGTCTATTTTCAGTCGCTACGCCACAACTTATTCACACACAAAAATTGTAAGTTACACCATAATTTATTGCGTAAGTCGTGGGGTTACCCACCGTGCAATGTTGCACAACGTGAAATGTTGTGCAACTTGCACAATAAAATGTTGCTTATGTAGAGTTACGTCATTGCACAAAGTTTTGTAAAATCGGCTGTTTGTTCCATACCTTAAGAAGCTACTGTTTAAGTAGGCCCTGTCCACTTCTCATAAATGAAACAATTGGGGAACATGAAGTAGGATAAATGGGATTTATACATGCAATGCACACAGCAAACCTATTTAACAGAGGGAAGGAAAAAACACAACCAAACTATGGGGCACACAGACAACCAAATGCAAAGTAAACAAACTGTCAACCAAAATGTATAATGTCTCTTGGATATTTTAACTGTATTGTATATTTTTATACTATAATGTTGGGAAAGAATTTCTGAACTTGTTGACGTGTTGTTAGCTTGGGAATACAAGAAAACCTTTTCAAAGGGTGACCACTTTATTTCATGTTAACTACGAGAATCACATACATTACAGTGTGTTTCTTTAAGTATAGCGACTGTACTGTTCAAAATACCTCATATTTCAAAAGCACGGCCCAAAGTTCAGATTCAGGCTAGGTGCAGCGCATGCCAGACTCCAAGATACTGACTTCAATTTCATTCAAACACAAAACCTTATCTCATTGAAAACCTTTCTATTAGACTAACAGGACTATAATGACTGCCAGACGTAAAAAAAAAAAAAAAAAAAAAGTCACATTTTGAACTTTTGGGGTTGGACCAAATGATAACATTTTCAAAAATCTCATAACTAAAGATTCTTTTTAGTTTGAATTGTATTTTCAAATTAAAATTACCTTCGAAAAGATGAAAAAGTACCGGTAGCTCACCTTTATAACTTTAAGCAATTTATAAATGTAGGATAGGAAATAATGAAGCACACCTTTAATCTTTTTTCCATTTATTCAAGTACATCATATTTGATTTTCTTAGCATGATGCAAAGATATTATCAGTGGATGCTGGAATGTTTGGATTCAATACTTACGGTTTATTACTGGCTTTTGGGGCATCATCAGCCCAGCCACCTTGTCGCCTTTTGGGTCTGCTTGGTGGACCGCGAGGCTGCAGAGAAAATACAAATATAAAAAAAATGAATGACAGACTCAAGAACTATAGGACTTCTGCAACAAACTGAACAAGAAATCCAGACCTGGGTGCGAAATTTCTTTTCCCAAACGAGATCGGACAATATCAAAAGATATTTAGCCTCTGAAGAAGAACTTGTTTTAGCCTCTGAAGAAGAACTTGCTAAGTTCGCAACGTCAGGCCACATTAATTTTTAGATTAATATCAAAAGAGGGCGCTCTCTCTGCGTTATGCTTATTCATGATGTCCAGGGAAATTAGAGAATAAGTTTTATAACAAGGAATAATAGTGTAAAAATCACCGACGATTGGCAGCTCATTCGTGGACTGGTTGGAAGAAGTCCTGACTTCTAATCAGCAGAGATGCCACAGGGTCTGCTTGAAAAAAACGGAACTGGGTCTGCTTGAAAAAAAACCGGAACGGCTGCTTGAAAAAACGGAAATTTTTGGGTGTGAAAAAGCCACTCCGTGTCCGACACAAAGTTCCCGTTGTCATCTTTATCTTGTAGCCAAGCCAAGTTCTGTTTATTTTTTAATTTTGCTTCTATGGCCTTTAAAGCTGTCGGTTCGTTCAATCACTTTGACTTTTTCCATATTCCTCATATTTATTCTGCCTACCCGAATTTCCAACGTAATATTCGACACGAAACACGCACGATTCCACAACACTGCTGTCGGTGTACATGATCCTTGCACTACGAGATGCGCTCAACGAAAACATGGTTGGTACCCGCATTTTTTATATACATTTGTATATCACTGCGATCGGAAACCACCGTTAGCTGAAATGATAGACTTGATTTTCAGGCTGAATGCTACGTGTGCTTAGCACACAACACGCCTGCATGCGGTGAAGCACGCGCGAGGCGCCGTTGTATACTGCGTGCAAGTACGTTGGCAGCTTGTATCGCATGCAGGCTCGGCAACAACATACACAAAGACTGTTTTTAAGACTACTTCAACGAACAACGTTGTGCCATGCGTGCGCCTAAATGTACTAAATCGAGGTAAAAATCAACGCATTTCCACAGTTTTTCTTCTCTTTTTCTGGTTAATTTTACGGCCGGAAAAACCGGGATTTTGTGAGATTTTTTTTAAAAACCGGAATTCCGGTTAAAACCGGAAAAGTGGCATCTCTGAATCAGGTGATCCGAGTTCAAATCTCAGTGAGCGTTTTCCACTTCTTCTCATTTTACCTTTTAAATAAGTAAAGAAATGAAGGAACATTTCTCACAAGACGGAAAGCCTATCTTGGGTTTGTGTTATGGAGAACAAGGCATTAGATATGCATGTAATGGACCAATCAGAAGATGGATGTCGTTTGGGAAAAAAAGATTCGCGACCTGGGTAGCTGCTAAGTTTGATATCAAGCAATCAAGAAATAACAACAAAGTCAATTACATGTACTCCTCAAAAAGTCTTCCAGACAAATTCAGCATAAATGCTTTTATCCATAAATAACGTATTTTCTTTTCAAATGAAACTGATAATTTTTAGCTCATTGGAAAAGGTCACCATCACTCATCCTGAGAGTCTGTTTTTCATAAAACGCAAAGAATTTTTCACTTTTGAATGAGACAACTAAAAAAGTTATTGAATTATTACTTTACAAATTTCAAATTATTGGCTGCCAGACAATAATTCAATTGTCAAGAGGTAGGCTGGTTCCCGCCCCATTATCAGTATCGAAAATGTACGGACTGGGAGCCAGTCTGCTAGCAAAGCGGATCTTTTTTTCAGAGGGTTGCACACAGGGAATGCAACTTTAATTCAATGATTGGTTGTTGACTCACACTTCCATTTCTTTCTGATAGAGGCACTAAACCCTCGGCCGATTCATCCCCACCGATGTCTCCATTGGGCTGGGTGCTGACTGCTGCCGCTTCCTGCCTCTCTTGTCTCGCTCTCCGTCCCTTCTTAGCATCCTACAAAATTAAATTTTAAAAAATATTAGAGGGGTTAGTGGTAGCTTTGTTGCCGTCTAGGTCTGGTACCACACTAACATCATAGTTGTGACTTCATATTCAGGAGATGGGCATCAGACTTAATGGTATAACGCAATTTCGGATTTCGTGCCATCATCTCAGGAGGATTTTTTTATAGGGAAATAACGTCCAAAATTGTAATGAATTGTAAACGGTCTGATTCCCATCTAGTGGATGAGAACTCACAGTGATAATGTTGGCGTGGAACCAGGGTCCAGGCTATCATTTGTCACAGTAAAACATTCTCAGTACCCAAAAATGGTCCCTACGCATGCTCAGTGCTGTTCAGGCTTAATGGTGAATCTAGCTCCATAAATGTGGCCGATCTACTGCACTACCTGTGTAAATTGGCCACATTCAATGTACTGGGACTATGGTGACTCCAACATTTAATTATAGAATACTAGTATTACTAGTATTAGCTACATATTCTTTTTCTGATTCGTGGCTCTGGATGATACAAATCTGGAATTGTAAAAGGGTCTGATTCCCATCTCAACAACAACGTTGGTACTATTTTGATACGCACGCAGGTATATAATTATTTGTTTCCCCACGTTTTAGCGAGCAGCGCGACAGCTCAGTCGATAGAAGGTAAGATCTTGCACCGCGAGGTTGCGGGTTCGCATCTCAGTTTTGCACTCGAATTTTTTTCCTTTTCTAACCTGAGGCTTTGGAGGATTTGTTTTAAAAGGGAAATAAAGTCAATTTCATAACGTTCAAATTCACTTTTTTCCTTCTAATTTTATATTTTCTTCTCATGTTTTTATAAAAGTTGCAGTAGTCCTTCTAATTTTATATTTTTTTCTCATGTTTTTATAAAAGTTGCAGTAGGTCTACTAGTACCGTAACGATAGAAAATGGGAAATGCGTTACGGCTGCCGTAACGATAGCCACTGCGTTACAAAAAGAAAGCGGGATCCACTGCCTTATTATTTTTTTAAGTAAATCGTTTACAACATTTTGTTAGCCTACAGCTTCCGTAGTCCGAGTAACTTGGACCCAACTTATCGCCTTTTTCTATCTCCAGACTAGCTGGAGTTACCCAGCCCTGAGTTTTATCATTGGGTTGTCTATTAGGGCTGGAGCAAATTTTTCTCAAAACTTGTAGTATTTGCAAAAAAAATTTGAAAAATGTTCAATTTTGTCCCCATTACACACTAATTGCAACTGCAACTCACCCCAAACTTGCCTGGAATAACCATTACACAGGTCCTTGAAGTAAAAAACGATCCACGATGAAGATTCAGCCTCCAATTGCAGTGAAAACAGGAGGAATAACCGCTAACTTGACAACCTTGCTGGATTGGCCAGGACCGGTATTGGTTTGTGCACAAAAAAAATTGTGTACAATGAATGGCGGTCGATTACCATGCACGTACAGCTCGCTGGTACTAGGCGTTTTTGCGGTCGGTGCATGACGTGACGCGGAAGCGTAATACCCGATGACTGTTTCATGCATTAATAAGAGGTTCACTCGCATCACAGTGCGGTACTGGAACGGCAACCGTCGAGTTGGCCGGCTATCGTGCATTCATAGTGCAGTGTTACTGCCGTTCCAGTACCGCACTGTGATGCGAGTGAACCTCTTATTAATGCATGAAACAGTCATCGGGTATTACGCTTCCGCGTCACGTCATGCACCGACCGCAAAAACGCCTAGTACCAGCGAGCTGTACGTGCATGGTAATCGACCGCCATTCATTGTACACAATTTTTTTTGTGCACAAACCAATAGCGGTCCTGGCCAATCCAGCAAGGTTGTCAAGTTAGCGGTTATTCCTCCTGTTTTCACTGCAATTGGAGGCTGAATCTTCATCGTGGATCGTTTTTTACTTCAAGGACCTGTGTAATGGTTATTCCAGGCAAGTTTGGGGTGAGTTGCAGTTGCAATTAGTGTGTAATGGGGACAAAATTGAACATTTTTCAAATTTTTTTTGCAAATACTACAAGTTTTGAGAAAAATTTGCTCCAGCCCTAATAGACAACCCAATGATAAAACTCAGGGCTGGGTAACTCCAGCTATCTCCAGACCATGTCCGAATGTTAAAAAGGCAATAAGTTGGGTCCAAGTTACTCGGACTACAGCTTCCGTAAAAATAGGCTAGTCATGAGTCTCTGCGTCACTGGAAAGTGAGAAAATTACTTGGACCTAAGTTAGGTCTATAGTATAAACGTTACCCTCTTTTTCGCCGTGAATTCCAAATCGTCTTCTTCCATGGCAGCTGCACGAAATTCACCTGTTCAGTGTTTGCTCAGATTTTTCAGACTTTTCTACTTTTCAAGTTCAACTTTCTAAATTTTTATGACGCGCTATTCATCAGACACAAGAACATTAGCAACAATTTTGCCTAGAATTCGTCACATTTTTTGTCAAGAACTAGAAAAACAAATCTTGAGTTAAAAAGCAGCACAAAACTGAATGCAGACGACATCTACGACATGACATGTACGATCGAGGCGAACGCAAAAATGTTGTAACGTTGCGAGGTAACTTCGTTATCATCTAAAGCCTTGTGTGATTGGCTAATATTGGTGCATTTGTCTTATATTGACCAATGACCTTAGTCGTTATTACTAGTTGGTGATAGTCAACTCGCTCCATCAAGAAATTTGCCCCACATGGCCCAGAAAATTAAAGGGGCGAGTTTGCTAGGGGCGACTAGTTTGGTTATCAAAATCACTGTGGTACGGAAGCCTAGAGGGGCCACAATATTTTGTTTCCAAATTTGTATCTTGTGGCGCGCGCAGCGACGTCGCAGCATTCACAATGTACCTCAAACCGCATGGGCGCCCACAGCTAGCTTTGGTGATCGATTCACAGTGCACGGGTACCGCTAAGGTACAGGCCTATCTGCAACATTATGCTGACGCAATACTTGAAGTATCGAAACGATCTACGATTTATATTGCGCTATCGCGTAGATTTCCAATCCTTTTGACTCTTTATACACGTTCGAGAAAAAAAATATAAAACAGCTGTACTAGTTTTTCAAAATATGCATCAATCTTTTTCTGATTCATTAGTGTAACCATGGGTTCATTTTATACCACGCCCCGCTGGCCAAGTAGCATTGGAGCCATTGGAACCGGAAGCTAACGCAACTTGAGTGTTTGTCCAATAATCAGTGTGCGCGCGTGTACGTGTATGACATTTTAGGGGAACCAGATTAATGGACGTTCCAGAAAACCCGCCCACTGCACACTGGGCAAATTAACACGTGCTCCTATCCAATATGCCACACTGCATGTTCCTGCCGCGCGCATCATACGCGCGTGCACGCAGTCAGACTTTTGTGCGAGCACGTCGGACATTATAAGTCACGGCTGTGATTGGTCAGAACAATATGGGGCGGTGCTTACTGGATCGGTCAATCATAGTCCACCCACACACCGTATACCTTTATTAGAAAAACAAATCCGTTTATTTTCGTTGCATTCCTGATGATCATTATCATACACCACCATACATTATCGTGAATTTCATGTCGGGGAAAAAAACAACGATGTTGTAGAACTTCCAATGTCTAGAAAAAATTGCGATGTCGTGAAATAAATTATTTACGTCTTAGTTGTCCCTATAGTTCGGGTCCAAGGGCGTCGGAACCGGGGGGAAGGTGGCACTTCCCCCCCCCCCCCCCCCCACATTTTCCCAAGTGCCCCTCTTGCGGACATAAATATGCCCGCTTGAGCATAAAATGTGCCCCCTCGAGATGAAAACAAAACATGTCGACATTTCAGCACGGATGTGCCCCCCCCCCCCCCCAAAAAAAAGAAACAAAAACATGCTGGATACGCTGCTACACCAACGGAAGATGCCTTTAATTGAGCAAGCAAGTGCCCCGCTGATGCGACTGTAACCGGTCAGTCCAAAAATTCAACCCCCAAAAGTGAGCGCAGTACCGGTACATCTGTTTCCGTCTGTCCCAACTTCAATGAGCTTAATTCAATCAAGTTGATCAGTATTAAACCGTGGTCACCCCTCTAACTAATTCTTGCGATCAAATTGTAGTCGCCCATCGGGATTACGTCATTAGCATTCTATCCGATTCTCATTTCTAACCCAGGCTTGCGCTGAATGCACATTATGCAAATAACGTGTTTAGAAGATTTCCACTCAGACTCCAGCCCTATTGTTACATTCATGCCTCGCTGATCACCATGGTACAGCGACCTAGCGTGCACGGGCTTTATCTTAAGCTGTTGATTCGATACTGGGGTAGGCCTTCATTACTGTCGTTGTGCTCCTCGCGCTCACTGCAACTCTCACAGTTCAAAATTATTAGTTTTGCTCTGTATAAAATTATGTTTATTTCCATTGAAAGTGCACATTGTGTCCGATTTATATTGTATTAAGAAAGACAACATTACCATTTACACCAAGATCAACATCAAGATGGGCAATGTCTTCAAGAGTAGAAAGAGGTACGTTACACGTCTCTAATTAATGTACATGTGTATAAGGTTCTACAAAATCTAGGGTCTCTTTAAGTAAGTGTAAGGCCTTTATTTGTGTATAAAGTATAACTTGGAGATAAGCAATGATAATACAATTTCGTCAGACACGTGCAGTGACATTGCGTTCGCACGTATAATAATAAAAATTCATAAGAATCCATCGCACACGTGCAGTGACATTGCGTTCGCACGTTTAACATAACATTTGCATAGGAAATCGACAAGATACGTGCAGTGACATTGCGTTCGCACGTGAAATATAAAATTTGAATAATATTTCGTCGTACACGTGCAGTGACATTGCGTTCGCACGTACAATATAATCTTTGCATAGGAATCCATCTCACACGTGCAGTGACATTGCGTTCGCACGTTTACGAAACATTTGCATAGGAAATCGACAAGATACGTGCAGTGACATTGCGTTCGCACGTGAAATATAAAATTTGAATAATATTTCGTCGTACACGTGCAGTGACATTGCGTTCGCACGTATAACATATTTGCATAGGAAATCGACAAGATACGTGCAGTGACATTGCGTTCGCACGTGAAATATAAAATTTGAATAATATTTCGTCGTACACGTGCAGTGACATTGCGTTCGCACGTACAATATAATCTTTGCATAGGAATCCATCTCACACGTGCAGTGACATTGCGTTCGCACGTTTAATTTGCATAGAAATTGGACAGATGCGTGCAGTGACATTGCGTTCGCACGTTTGTAAATAAAATAGGGCGTGGCTATAGGCTCCGTTAATCCCAAGCAGTTTAGATATAAAGTTTGAGACTGCAAAAAACAAGCCACTGGCCGGCCAGGTAATGTTTTCTGGCTGAGCGGATAAATTACTTCATTTCAAGGCAGTAAAATGCTTTAAATTTTTAGGAAGCTCTGATAAAAGTAGAGAGTTTTGTCACCTAAAACAGAGAACTCCTTAAATCTCATTGGATGTTAAAAAAGTGTACATGAAAGATAAATTACAGCAGAATTAAGGTTGAACGAAAATGTATTATTTTATTCAATAATAATGCAATGCCAATAGGAATTCGTCAGACACGTTCAGTGACATTGTGTTCGCATGTGTGTTAATTTGCATATAGGAATTTATAAGATACGTGCAGTGACATTGCGTGCGCACGTGGGAAAAAAAATACAATTTCGAAAGAATTCGTCAGACCGTGCAGTGACATTGTGTTCGCACGTGAGTTAATTTGCATAGGAATTTGAAACGTGCAGTGACATTGCGTTCTCACGTGGAACATTATTGTTTGAAATCGTGAAGCCTGGTCGAGCTTCTATTAATGCCATATTTTTTTTCGAGCTATTTATTATGTCAGGAGATGTCTGCAATTTTTTCTTGAAGGGTAGCATTCCAGTGGAATTTTTTTTTCAAATTGTTGTCCCTGAATAATTAAAATCGCTAATTTACACCAGTATTTTCAATGATAAGCCCGTGACAGTGTCTCCTGCATTGTCACATTTACCTCCAGGTTTTATCTAACTCCCTTTCTGGAGAAAGTTAAAAGACGTTCTCCACTTAAGTCTCGGAAACTAAAAATAAATTGAAACAATATAAAACCTAATCAACACTCTGGGCAAAACGTTGGTGCACTGATGCAAACAATTAATTTGGGTTTCTTGTAGGTCAAGTTGGGAGGAGTGCAGACGCTGTAGGCGTGCATTATGCAGCATCCGCAAAGCAAAGCAGCTGCTGGATCTGTAGGAGTGTTAGGATAATGATATAGGCATTTAAATTCAGCGAAATATTCTCATACGCGTTTAGAAACCTCCGCACCGCGTTCTATCGCTTTCCGTTCGACAATAATTAAGGCATATTCATACGTAATGTTCGGCAAACTCGTGGTTTTTTTGGCTAGACCGGAGACGGTTTGGTGCGAAGACCGTGAGGGGACATAGGGAGTTATTTCGGTTTTTTTCGTAATACTATTACGTATGTGTTATTGACACGTATGTACATAACTCAGGCACGTACTTGAATATTATCACGTACGTAGGTAATATTATCACGTAGGGCCCACGTGATAATTATTACGTACGTAGGGCCCACGTGATAATTATTAAGTACGTATACACAACGTATACTCGTTTAAGGACACACGTACTATCACGTACATATGCAATACATGTACGTACGTAATATGTATTTATCAGGTATGTACGCAATGATAATACTAATATTGCGTTAGTACGTAATATTATATTATCACGTACGCATGTGATAAATTAAATGTATCACGTACGTACGTTGTGATTGTCATATGTATAGTAGTAGGCCCTAAGTAAGAAAAATATGTTCATCTTCTCTTGGTCTTCGTACCCACGTATCCGCGTACCCGCGCGATCGCGCGATTTCGTGTACCATACTTCGAAGTGATAAAATCTAGGGAAATGTTTAGCAAAGTGCAAGGAGCAGTGTTAGGGAAAATGAAGCAAACGAAAATTAGGGAGCAAGCATAGCCCGCTGCGAGCATGCGCACATTGAGCCTGCAGGCAGTGCGATGGGCAGTTTAAGGTTTTATAAAAAAAAAAAATTAAAAAAAAGATAAAAATAACACTAACTAAATGCAAACAAAAATCAGTCTAATGAAAAACACTGTCCCCCCTAAACTTGAAAATACTGGTGTATTTTATTTTCAGTATTAAGAAACTTCACTCGCAAATTTAAAGTCGATTTTGTAATTGATTGATAGTCATTTTGTAATGTTTTATCGATCGACTGGAATACTGCCCTCTATACGGACATTGGCATCTCAAAACAATAATTAAACAAAGTTAGTAAAACAACTACAGAAAGTGGCAATGCCTGGTGCGTTGTCCACCAACGATGATATAATTTCTTTATAATTTTATAAAATGTTTAAGAGCAAACAAGATTCATAAAATCTAAGCCATTGCAATTGACAGTGACCATGCCTGGTGCTGTGTCACTTGTAAGGGATACCCTCTTCGGTGCATATTAGTAGCGCCGATTTCCAAGAGGCCCCTTCCTTGCAGAAGAACTTTAACATTAACTTAAACCATTTAACTAAAACACGGAAGGACGAAACTACTTAAACAGCCATAGAGAGAGAGCTGTTGCTTATAATAATCAACGCTAATTCCTAAATGAGCTCTCTGTTAAGGTGACACAAACGCTCTTATAGTAGCACTAAAGAAGAAGATTAAGGCAAAAAAAAACTGGGATTAACAGTGTCTGTAAAAGCGCCGCTTTATCTATAATTCGCTAGTCTGTGAGCAGTGAGGGCACAATTGACAGTTGACCATATTTTAATGATCGTAGTAAAATCAAAAGTCATAACTTTGGTTGATTATACTTTGTATAAATTCATATAAAAGACATTTTTATTCTGTAAGGAGCTTTTGAGCTCGGTTAAATATCAAGGATTTAAAGATATACTTATCTGTGAGTAAAAAAAATGCTTACAGAGAAAATTACTTTTGGGGGAAAAAAAATCAAAAGTAGATTGTTTTTTTGTTTCATTGTAAATGTTGCATGTTTGATTTTTTTGCCTGTGTGTACATTGCTCTCTGTGTGGTGTGATTTTTTTAATGGTATCCGTCTGTTGTCTCTGACAGTAGACAAAATCAAATGTTTTTAAATCAAATTAATCGTTGCGGCTACGAAAATGTTAAATCGTTCAGCAAAATCGAAGGTTTTGAAGCGGCAAAGATCAAATTGACGAAAATAATAAATTAACGTTAATATGTTCGGCAGTATACATGGAATAAATAATACCTGAAATCAGTGTTATGTTTACCTTTACTGCAATACCTACCCGGATATTAACTTGACTACGCGTATGACGAAAACTGAAAACAAAATTGAAATCGGTCCAAAATAAATTATAGCGAAAATCACATCGTAAGCGAATTTTTTTTCCGGAAAAAAATCATCCCGCTTTCTACGTGTAGGCCTACACGCTAGAAAAATGACAAAAATAACGCAAGGAAAACATACATACAGCTAAAAAAAGTCACACCGTTAGTGGGAGTAAAAATACCCGAAATCAGTATTATTTTTCTTAACACAAAGTAAACAAAAATGGGTTATGGAAATAACCAATAAAAATGACGAAAATTACGGCATAAAAATTAAACATCGGCAACGAAAGAGGTAAATACATGTACATGTACTTCCAAATCGGTGTTAATTTCTAAACTTCGATGTTTTTCCAAATTTGGCCACAAAAAAGACTGAAATTAAGATTTAAAAAGTATGAAATCATGATCAGCAGTAAATACCGATTCTACATTGCCTCAAAAAGTCGGAAAGCGAATTTTGGCAAACGGTGGGAAAATGACGGCAGCAAAAGAAAATGAAATTGACGAAATTACGAAAAAAAATCACTCCATAATGAACAAAATATCTGTTTAGAAAATGACTGAATTTCAGTTATAAACAGCGGCATTTCAAGGCATCAAAATTGTTGGCATCGTCGAGAAGAGCCTTCAAAAAACCTAATTCCACCCCCCCCCCCCCAAGTGAACGGGTACAACTTATTGGCAGCCTGCCATTATCAGCGTCGGTACATGTTCGTGTGCATTATGACAAAAAGATCATGTCTGTTTTTAAAAGTAAATAATGGAAACATGGGTAGAATCGTTTTCTGTTTGGTCATAAGTGGCCATTGCAGGTAGGCTTAGACATAATGCATTGGAATGTTTCACTTCAGTAACGAATGGGCTTGGCCCAGTGTTTCCGTACCCCTGTTCACTTAGAAAAGAGTTGCAGCGTTCAATCCGTTCATCAAAGAAAGTGATGATCTAAAAGTTGAGACAGACTGGATGAGCTAGGCCGCTTTGTCAGGACGAAAATGAACCCTCCAAGGCTCCAACAGCCTCATCACACAGAAACTCGAGGAACCGGAAGCAGGGAGGAGGACCGACAGATGAACGGATGACCTGCTTGCAGGGCTTCCCATTACTGATTCTTGAGGTTAGTTTACATATTGACCTCCTCTTAATGGGAACAAGCAAGTCACAGAACTCATCAAAATGGGCGATCTGACTCTGTTATTATGTTATTCCACAAAGAACGAGCTCTGTATAGCGGGGCTTTGCTTTGTATGGTTAATTCAATGTTGTCTTTCTCCTTTCTTGCCCTGGCACGAATACAACTCAATAATTCAAATGTTTTCTTTCGCCATTTGAACTCTTTCAGGAAAATGAGGACAACTACTGAGATGAGGATGAGCCTGCCTCAAGACATCGTCAGGGCTCTGACAGCCTCATCAAACAGAAACCCGAGGAACCGGAAGCAGGGAGGAGGACCGACAGATGAACGGATGACCTGCTCGCAGGGCTTCCCATTACTGATTCTTGAGGTTAGTTTACATATTGACCTCCTCTTAACAGGAACAAGCAAGTCACAGAACTCATCAAAATAGGCGATCTGACTCTGTTATTATGTTCTTCCACAAAAGAACGAGCTATTGTAGCGTGGCTTTGCTTTGTATGGTTAATTCAATGTTGTCTTTCTCCTTTCTAGCCCTGGCACGAATACAACTCAATAATTCAAATGTTTTCTTTCGCCATTTGAATCCTTTCAGAAAAATGATGACCACTGAATGATGAGTGAATTGCTCTACTGAGATGATGATGATCCTGCCTCAAGACGTCGTCAGGGCTCCAACAGCCTCATCAAACAGAAACCCGAGGAACCGGAAGCAGGGAGGAGGACCGACAGATGAACGGATGACCTGCTTGCAGGGCTTCCCATGACTGATTCTTGGGGTTAGTTTTTACTTACATGTACTTAAAAATAAACAAAAACAAGTAAATGGGTGATCTGGCGCTCTTCTATGTTCTCCCACAAATAAAGAGCACTGGTAGTGGGGCTCTGCTTTGTGGGATTAATTCGAACTCCCCCCCCCCCCCCCTATAGCTCTACCTTTCACATATTTCTTAATAATGATTCGGATATTTTCTTTCGTCATTTGAATCTTTTTACAGACATGAGGACCACTGACTGATGAGGGGGTTGCCTTGCTGAGATGGATGAGCCTGCCTCAAGCTGCCATAAGGTGGGAGGACCGACGGTTGACTGACTCTGCCTGCTGGGCTGGCCATTACCGATTCTTAAGGTATGTTTACTTGAAAAGAGACCAGGGATAATTATGTAAGCCTACACTTAAAGTTATCTTCAAATAAACTTGAATCTCTCGATCCTGATTGATGTTGATGTTTGCAAATGTTGTATAGGCCTGGTTATATGTAGCACGGCTTGTTGCCATGGATCGACCAATCAGGATTGAGGATTCAAGTTTACTTGCGTCACCTCTAACGATGCTTGATTTTCTCTTTAAATATAAATTCTAAAGTTTGCTTGTTTATTTTGTTTGTCATATTTTAGAAGACGAGGACTACCAAGCTTGGATGAGACTGGACAATGACGAAGCTGCTCTATCTGGACAAGGATGCCCTCATCGGACACTTTCCAATCTGCGTAAATATTGGATCAGAAATCAGACTGCATATTTTGCAATATTATTAGTTTGAAATAACATACAAACGACGAAAATACGATTTATTACTCCAAATTTACAGCGATATTGGAAGTAATAATATTAGTGTTATTTGATACCTTTACTGAGATACCTATACCTGAAATATTTGACTACGAATGTGACGAACAATGAAAACAAAAATCAAATCGGTCGAAAAATAAATTACAGCGAAAATAAAATGGTAGATTTTCTTTTCGTAAAAATACTACTCCGCTTCCTACAAGACTAGTGGCCGAAAAAATGACGAAAAGTACACCAAGAATCAAAGTGGCAAATATACCCTAAGTAAAATGACGGAACGTGCGGCGTAAAAAATCACAGCGTTCGTGAGTGAAATAATACTGAACAGCAGTGTTATTTTTCTTATCTTTAAAGTAAAAAAAAAATCGGTTACGGAAATAACGAAATTAAAATGACGAAAACTACAGCAAAATAACTTTAACATCGGCAGCGAAAGAACTAAATACTTGAAAATCGGTGTCAATCTTCTGAACTTCGATGCCATGCAAAAATTGGCTACAGAAACAAACAAAAAACGAAATCATGATTTACAAAATTATGACATTGGTCGGTAGCAACTACCGGTTCTACAGCTCTTCAAAAAGTCGGGAAGCGAATTTTGGCAAAACAAAATTAAAATGACAAACTTAGGGGAAAAAAATCACGCCAAATGGAACGAGGACAAAAATCAAATCGGCGCAAAATAAATTACAGCGAAAATCAAATGGGACATTTCTTTCGTAGAAATACTACTCCGTTTCCAACAGAAAATAAGTTAAGAACATAACTGAATTTTAATGACATTGTGCAGCGGCATTATAAAGGCATTTGTTGTCGCTGATTTGCACCGCATCTTTAAAGTATATTCGTCTGCGAAAATAACTGAAATTGGTGACATCGTCGTAAAATTTGCCTTCAAAAGGACCAATTGGCCAAAACAAGTTATGTGTGTGAAAGGGTATACAACTTCCGTAATCGGCAAAGCGATATTGAAAGTGGCTGTGTAAGACGTGCGACATGTTAACCATCGCATACGACATTTCTTCGTGTTATTGTAATTTTTTCAACCTTCCTCAACATTATTTATGCAAGTCCGATTTGGGGAAAAACATGTTATGCATGTGAAAGGGTACGACTTATGTTATCAACATAGCGATCAGGGCAAATGGCTTGTAAGACGTGCGGTAGGTTTACTATATCGCATGCGACATTCCTTTGTGTTCTTGTAATTTTTTTTCAACCTTTACCTATATCATTAATGTAAGTCCGATTTAGAAAGATCGGCAGGGATACAGCGTTTTTAAAACGTATAATTTTATCCTTTAAACTAACGGCCAAAATAATAGCGCTGCGGTAGTGACAGATAGCTTATACTTGGGATCAGTTTTAATGTCATCGGTCTTAGACTTTCTAAATCAAATCTTTGTGCGGGTATGAGTATACCGCGCTTACCGTACATGAGAAGAAAATATTTTAAGACATGAGACAGGTTGAGAGTCACATGCGACACTAGTATTTCCCTCGTTAATTTTTGCCTTCACGTAACCCTCCTTCCGCCGTATGATGTAAGTCCGATTTGGAAGGGATCGGCAAGGGTTAAGTGGACATTTGTCATCTTAATGTCATGTGAATTTCTTGAATGTTTGTTTATAGTGTGCGAGTAACAATGTGGTTTCCAAGGCAAATTGCCATTATCAGCGTCACGTCGGCACACGTTTGTTTATTCTGACAATAATAATATGTTATCATCAGGACTGTTAAGGCTACTTTCTAAATTCTAACCTTCACAATTAACTTGAAGAATATTAGATCAGAAATCAGGCTGCACAGTTTTGCGCAGTCAGTAATATTAGAAAAACTTGAAACCACGAAAATCTTTTTTACGCCAAGTGTATGGGTATATTGGAAAAAAATAACTGAAATCAGTGTTATTTTTACCTTTACTGCCGTAGGCCGACCTACCCGAAATATTTGACTACGAATGTGACGGAAAAAAAAATTTAACCGGTCAAACATAAATTACAGCGAAAATCAAATCGTATATAGGCCTACGTGGATTTTCTTCCCACATAAATACTACTCCGCTTCCGTGCTAGGGCAAAGAAAATGACGAAAATTACACGGAAAATCAACGCGGCAAAAAAAGTAAAGTAACGAAACATACGGCCAAACAAAATCACATCGTAGTATGAGAAATAATACTTGATATCAGTGTCATTATTCTTACCATGCAAAGTAACAGAAAAAAAAATCGGTTTTACGGAAATAACAAAAATAAAGCGACTAAAATTACGGTAAAAATGTACCAGCGGTATAGCGACCGAAATATATTCTTAAAATCGGTGTTAATTTTCTACACTTCGATGTCGTGCAAAAATTGGCTGCAGAAAAATGACCGAAATTGTGATAAACAAAAATTATGAAATTATGATTGCCAGCAACTTCCGATACTATACATTGCTTCAAGAAGTCGGTAAGAAAATTTCGGCAAACGGCGGGGAAAATGACGGCGGCAAAACAAATGACGGAAATTACGGAAAATAATCTACCATATCAAACAAAAACAGATCTACACAGATCTACACCACATCTTTAAAGTATATTCGTCAGCGAAAATAACTGAAATTGTGACATCGTTGAGAACTTTGCCTTCAAAAAGACGTAATGGCAAACGAAAAGCGTTATGCACGTGAAAGGGTACAACTTGGTGTAATCAACAAATTGATAGAGAAAATGGCTGTAAGACATGCGACATATTAACTATCGCATGCGATATTTCATCATGTTTTCTTAATTGTTTTAACCTTCGTCTGCATTATTTATACAACTCCGATTTGGAAAAAATATATAAAACATGTTACGCATGTAAAAGGGTACAACGGTAATCAACAAAGCGAAATGGTAAAATGGCTGTATGTAAGACATGCGGCATACTTATTTAATATCGCATGCGACATTTCTTTGTGTTCTTGTGTTTTTTTTTCTTCAATCTTCATCATTTATGTAAGTCCGATTTGGAAAGATCGGCAGGGATACATGTTTTCATCAAGTCTATCATTTAGTTACTCATGGTTGTCTTACTTTGACCTTTGATAAAAGGCCTACCATCAAGCATCGGCTTGGGATGAGGCTTGATCGGTGTGTTTTTTTAAATTATTATTGAAGGGGAGAAAACAGAAACTAACGGCCAAAATAACAGCGCTGTGGTAGTGAAAGAGATAGCTAATACCTGGCATCACCGATAGTTTAATGTCATCGGTCTTAGACTTGCACAATGAAATGTTTGTGAGGATATGAGTTTACCGTACTTGCCGTAATTTTTTTTTTTATAATATTTTAAGACATGCGACAGGTATAGAGTCACATGCAATACTTAATATTTCCTTGTAAATTTTTGCCCAGATGTAACCTTCCTTCCGCCGCATGTTTAATGTAAGTCCGATTTGGAAGGGATCGGCACGGTTGAGATCACCGCTAAAGTCAAGTGAATTTCATTAATGTTCGTTTATAGTAGCATGCATGTGACATGTTTGTGAATTAAGACAAACAATAATGTCTGTTATTAATAGCAAATAAAGGAAACATGGGTAGAATCGTTTAGTTTCCATTGGGTCAAAACCATGACCAGGTAACAGGTAATTAGCTTCAGACATAATTTTTCAATGCAATGGAATGGTTCACTTCAGTAACATATGGGCTAGGCCCAGTGTTTTCGTACCCCTATTCATTTAGGAAAGAGTTGAAGCTTTCACCAAAGAAACTGAAGATCTAAAAGTTGAGACATACTGGATGAGCTAGGCTGCTTTGTCTGGACGAAAATGAACCCCCAAGGCTCACAGCTTCACCACACACAAGCTCGAGGAACCGGAAGCAGGGAGGAGGACCGACAGATGAACGGATGACCTGCTTGCTGGGCTTCCCATTACGGATTATCAGGTTTGTGTACATGTACTTGAACAGAAACAATCAAGTCAAAGAACTAATCAAAATGGGCGATCTGGCGCTCTTCTATGTTCTTCCACAACGAGTGCTGGTATAGCGTTTTGTTGCTTTGTGGGGTTGATTCAAGGTTTTCTTTCCCTTTGCACGTATTTCTTAATAATAATTCGGATATTTTCTTTCTTTATTTTAATCCATTAGAGAAATGAGGACCGCTGACTGATGAGGGAATTGCTCTACTGAGATGAGGATGAGCCTGCCTCAAGCCATCGTCAGGGCTCCAACAGCCTCATCAAACAGAAACCCGAGGAACCGGAAGCAGGGAGGAGGACGGACAGATGAACGGATGACCTGCTTGCTGAGCTTTCCATTACTGATTCTTGAGGTTAGTTTACACGTACTTAAAATGAACAGAAACAAGTCACAGAACTAATTAAAATGGGTGATCTGGCGCTCTCCTATGTTCTTCCACAACGAGTGCTGGTATTTTTGCTTGATTTCCTAAAAAAATAAAATTAATTTGCTTGCTTATTTTGTCATGTTTAGGACATGAGGACCACCAAGCTTGGACAAGACTGGACGATGACGACGCTGCTCTATCTGGACAAGGACAAGGATGCCCCCAGCGGAGACTTAAGCTAAAAAAATCTAGCTTGCATAATATGAAATGATACATCAGACTGTATAATGCAATGTCATTGATGTCATACAATAAAGCAACAACATTAAAATAAATGAAAAGTCTTTTTTATTTTGTTAAATTATCTATTCCTCTAAAATTATCTTAAACCTGATAGGCCTACTGTAACAGACAGTTAACAATGGACAATAATGGAAACTTGCTGAAAAATTATTGTAAGGGTAATAATTTGGCACCGGCTTTTTACAGTGACATGTCTGGGAGAAGGGATGTTCCTTTGATCTGTCTTGGGTTATCCAAAATCATTACATCATTGAGAAAATCATTGAATACACCTTTTATACCTTTAATGCATTCAGTAGGATTTTCTTGGTAAATTATAAGCGAGGTCTCGCCCTGAGGCTTTCTGATTTTTGTTCCTTCGACAATGGACAATTTTGCTCTATAAATTTAACTTGATATTGAATGTGCATTTTAAGAAAACCAATTTAAGTTATGAAATTTGATTGATTTCCAAAAGGATTAATTTATTGCTTAAAAACTGGAGAAATTTTACAAACTTTATTTCAATGTAACGTCTGTAACAAGACGTCGGTTTAACTAAAACGTGACTTTCTGTACATTGTATATTTATCAGAAAACACCAGAACGTTTAATATTAGGAACATTTAAAGAATAAACTGTTCAGGAACTTCTATCCATCAAAATGTTGGAAAATATAAGAAAGGTTGAAGACCCCTCCCCCTCAATTTAACTTATGCAGAGACTCTTTCTTTTCGCATTAAAAGAAAATGTTATTAAATTCAACTCGGGAAAACTACTTATTGCGTTGCAACAGGTATAAGTGACACTCGAATTACATTTGTGTTGATCCTTTTGTGGTTTATTTCATTGCACTTTTTTTTTACTTGTTGTATTTTTTACTTCATATGCACATTTGTTTTTCTTGGTGGTTTTGCATGTCTTTTCATTTTCTTATTAATAATTAACTAACCTCACAAAAGGATAAACGCAATATATATCGAGTGTTGAACTTGCCTTGTATCAAATATTGTATTCATATAATAGCTATATTAGACAAAATATAGTACTGAAATGTTTCAAAATAATCTAGGAATTTTTGGGGAGGGGGGCATTCCCCAGTTTTATCTTCCCTTTTTAAAATCTTATTAATTTACAAAATGGCGAAATACGGAAAACCTGGCTTTACCGTGTAATTTCTCAAATTTATTTGCCTTCTGCCTAACATTTTTTTTCTCATTTTGAATCTTTTGTATTTGTTTGCATGAATTGGTTTAAATCTTTGTATGTCAATAAGACTAAAGAATTAAACAAAATAAATAAAACTTGAAAGATGTGAGACACTTGGTATCCTTGGAAGATTGTCAGTATTTTGTATATTTTTGTTTTAGTGGTTGGGGGAGGTAAGGCTACTACAAAAGTAACAAAACCCAGCTGAAATGACGTTTTATTATTTATGGTGATTGGGGACGGGGTGGCGCACATGTCACGTCAGGGAATATAAAATAATAAGGTGTTTTTATAAGGGACAAAATCCTTACTCTTTAACGGGAACCAAAAATTCCCTGGGCTCCTAGGTTCTAATTTTAAGGTGGGCCAATAAATAGGCCCGAATTTGCATGAGCCGGCCAAATCACAATTTGCATGCCCCCATTTGTTTTGCTATTGGAGCATTTTTGTGGGACATAGGTTCGGACGCCGTGAACAGGACTGCTACCTCGTATTTCTGTAAAATTCGGATAAAGTTTGGCCGTAAAATTGCTCGATTTTGGACGGTTTCAAGACTACTTTTTAGGGGTGATCATCTTTGGATGGAATTTTCTCCCAAAGGTCAATGGTTTAACCACAAAATTTTTTTACAGAAAATAAAGACAATGAAACTTATCTTCAATTTGATATGTGTCTCAAACACCTTGAAGAGTTGTTAGTTTTTTCCCTTAATTTCGGAATTGGGTGTATTTATCACTCTATTCTGCAACCCTTAATGGTGGAAACTGACCACTTACTACCGATGAGGGCGGTATTTAAAGTTAATTGGGCATACCAGGCTGCCGATGAGGGCAGTATACCATATTAGCGGTGCATATAAACTGGCAAATACCTGACGATGAGGGCAGTATAACTAAATCGGGAGCAAACATGGCAGCCTCCTGCGTTTTCCGTCTTGGCCTCGTGTGTTGGGTATTTTCGTTGATATTCTGTGATAGCGCTAAACTTTCGCCCCCAAATGTCGTAATTTTGTTTGCCGACGACCTGGGGTTTGGAGATCTTGAAACCTATGGCCATCCAACATCTATGACACCGAATTTGAATCAGTTATCTGCGTCTGGTTTACAGTTCATGCAGTTTTATGTTGCATCTGCCGTTTGCAGTCCATCCAGGTAAGGCCAAAAAAAAAAAAAAAAAAAACATTCTGCTTCCGATTACATGGCATTCGATAATAGGGTAGGTAGGTAGGGAATTTTTTTGTTTTGCCAAATTGTTTGTGTACAATCATATGGAGGCGTCTGCATGTAGTCAAGGGCAACAGGTAGAAATTGATGGTTTTGGGTAATTTTTCCTCATTTTTCCAATAAAAAAATTAGGGTAGGGGCTGTCAGAATAGGGTGGGTAGGGAAACCGGAAGCAGAACAATTATTTTTTTTGGCCTAATGGTCTAGCCCCATTAATGTGGTCAGTTTACTGGACTACCTCCGTAAATAAAGCACACTTCCACCATGTACAAAAATGTCGAACTTTGTCTAATTTTTGTAAAATTTCATGTTGAAATATTGATACACACGTATGCGAATGAATCTGGAAATTTCATGAAAAAAATAGACATCTGAAAAAGGCAGCACCTTCTGATTAGCCTATGAAGAGGGTGAGTATGCTTCTAAAGCAAAAATAAACTACAAACTAAGCCTAAATGGGAAAATCCAAAATTTGACAAAGTTCTACATGTTTTTGTACATGGTGTGGAAGTGTGGCCTTTATTTACGGAGACAGTCCAGTAAATTGGCCACATTTATGGGGCTTGTAATGGTCATGATGGTATGGAACTTTGTCATGTTTGTCATGTGTGCAAAGAGACCCGTTGATACTTGGGGCCCTCTTTCGCCATTGTTCGCTTTTTTTTTAGTCCTTTGAGCATTTTTAGGAAAATATGTTGCAAGTGCAACCTGACGCCACTTTAGCGGTTACATGTATGTTCAAAGTCTAAAAATGGAGAGTCAAGAATTTTTTTAAGTATTTCCTAACATTCATGTTAGATTCATGTCTTATCATCATTTTTGCAATGACTGACCTTAATTGAGTCCTGTCACGTGAGGGCGCCCTTGTATCCACTACATTATTATTATTACTTTTTGAACAGAGCTGCCCTACTGACTGGGCGCTACCAGACACGTTCAGGGATATGGCCAGGAGTCTTCATTCCTGACTCCACAGGCGGCCTACAGCACAACGAAGTCACCATAGCAGAGATGCTCAAAGCGGTCAACTACCAGACGGCAATCGTCGGAAAGTGGCACCTCGGAGTCGGCCAGGGCGGCAAGTACCTGCCGACCAATCAGGGCTTTGACGAGTACTATGGGATACCGTACTCCCACGACATGTGCCCCTGCCAGGTTTGCTTCTATCCCGACGACCACTGCTTCAACGACTGCGATGTCCAGTACTCAAGCTGCCCGCTGTTCCATAACGGCACGATTGTCGAGCAGCCGACAGACCTCTTGACTCTTGAGCAGCGCTACACCGCCTTTGCCAAGAGTTACATAGCCAGGAGTGCTGACGGCGGCAAGCCGTTCTTCCTCTACTATGCCTACCAGCACACCCATCATCCACAGTTTGCCAGCAAGGCGTTCCGTAACACCACGGCCAGGGGCACGTTTGGGGATTCGCTGGCTGAGCTGGACTGGAGCGTGGGCCAAGTCCTCCAGCAGTTGAGGGACAGCGGCGTGGCTGATAACACCTTTGTGTTCTTCACCTCCGATAATGGGTAGGGAGGATCACATGCACATTCAGTCTATCATTGTCCATTTCCACAATTTTTGCTTTACATCAAAGTGAAATTATTAAGATTTTATTTCAATCTGGTCAATGAGGGGCACCTAGGGCTTATTATATAATACCTACGGAGTCTGTGTTTGAGTTCTTCTTCAACAGTTAAAAAGGACAGAGGTTAAAGGCATATTGGATTATTTGCAGTTATAATCTTTAAAGTAACCTCACAAATTATCAAAAAGCACAAAATTGGTTACTCACGTTACAAAAATGTAACGTGAGTAACCGATTTTGTGCGTCTTGTTTATCATACATAACTTTAACACATTTTCCTGGATGTCATCTTTGGTGATTAGGTAGGTCTAGGTCTACTCTATCAACCATGGGGATAACAGTTATTAAACCTTTTCAGTAAGGTAATTACAGCCCAAGGAAACTCAAAAGTACATCAAAAATGCAACGTGAGTAACCGTGGAATTGCCCATAAGCCCGGTCTTGGAACTGGACTGTCAACCATCAAAAAAAAATCTTCTAAAGCCATGGTTCACTAAAGACAAATATTAAATCTACTTCAATAAAAATTGGGATTTGATTTCAAACATAAAACAAAAGAAAATTATTATAAATTTCGGAATGCCAGATTCAATCCGGAACGTAGTTCAACATTAACCCTAACTCCTTAATAGGCCTTTTTTTAGGATGCAACCTCAATCCTGCAAAATCCTCCGGCTGCCTCCATGTACAAATTGCATTCAGCCACAATCCTGCAAAATCCTCCGTTTATTTCTTGAATTTGGTCCTTGGAGGGGTGACCACTACCTCAATTTTGCAAAATCCTCAGGCAATCACTGTCAATATGTTGAGGCAGAGCCAGTGACATCCTGGAGCAGTGCGGAGGATGTCAAGCCTAAATTTATGCATGGCTGAATATAAACAACACAAGGTCTGACCAAAGACCTTGACACAGTGCATCCTTCAAAATCTGCCACACATTTTTGCCATATAGCCTCAATTCTGCAAAATCCTTCATTTTGCAAAGAGGATTTGGGAGGATTTGGGAAGTTTAGGGTTAAATCAGTCAAGTTACCAAAGCACTCTGGTTGGAAGTGCAGTTATACATGTGATACAGATTTTGCAATGCTATAACTAAAGCCATTGAAAATTGCATTAAAGGTAAAGTCCATCATTTGTAATTTCTGCATTTTGTTCGTTTGAAGCAGTCCGAGACACGTTCTCACTGAGCTGATTGCAGGTACGCGATGTCGCGCACTGATCTGACGAATTATAGCGACCACGTGCGCATGTGCATCGTGTCAACACTTGCGCGCACTTCACTGAATAAAATAACAAACTACTAATGGAAATTTCCAACGGTGCTTCTTTGGAAGACGCTCCATTGGAAAAGCCTTCTTTTGTTGATTTCTTCAGAATGACAGCTTGCCAGAAAAAATAATTTCACAGGGAGTTTAGTCCCCTTACTATCTTTCAACCAAGTATGTTTTCCAACAATAATTACGCCAGTTATTTTTTGGATAGCTGCAAATGATGGACTCTGGCTTAAAGGCTACCATAATAATAGCCACTACATTTTTGTTCAATCCGTCAGGCCGAGTATCCTGAACCAGAACAGAGGGGGCAGCGCCGGCCTCTTGAAGTGCGGCAAGGGCACCACCTATGAGGGGGGCCAAAGGGTACCAGCGTTGGCCTACTGGCCCGGTAAGATCTCGCCTGGCCGTACCCTATCGCTAGCCAGTAGCCTGGACTTACTGCCTACCGTGGCCAACATCACTGGGGCCCCCCTGCCCGCGGGAGTTACCTTAGACGGTGTGGACATGTCAGAGATGTTGTTTCATAACAAGGCGGTGAGTTGCATTTTTGATTAATTGCGTGCATCTGTGTGAGCAAAACATAAATATTTGTACAAAATCTGACATGAGACAGTTTGCTGTTCGCATTATACTCACTTGGGATTCGTATCTGATGACTGAGCTCTACCAACGTATTACATATTGACAACTCAGTGTAGCAAAGAGTACTTTTTTTCAGACAGAAACAACATGAAGTCAGTAGTATGCTCAAAAGTGCTTCAAGATGCATTCCCTGTTTGTGCTAAATTATGAATTTCTTTGCGAAAAAATTGATTCCTTTTCTAAATTGCTATTTTTCTAGCGATACAAAGTCACTCTCTTTTGAATGAGATATCAACCGAAAAGATATCAACACAATCAGTACTGATAATGTATGGACCCGGAGCCAGTTTGCTCGCAAAGTGGATCTGTTTGTGCCCAAAACAAAAACCTTATTCCGAGGGTTGGGCATGTCCAAAAATTGGGGAAAAAAGGAGTTAAAGTTTATTGAATTTGTTGTAGATCACGGAGAATGCACTGAAAAAAAATTATTAATTGTCTGTGTACTTGAATTTGAACGAGGAAGATTTTTCAAGTATAAAAATTGCACATCAGATACAGTTCACAACCCAAATTGTGTCGGATTTTTCTCTAGTAACCTTGCTGAATCAAACAGAATCCAACAAAAAGCTGACAGTGCACCCTCCTGAATTTAACAGATCATAATAGCCCCAACAAAATGCTTTTTGTTCACAACCCAGATGTAACGGAACCAAACAGAAATTGTCCTCCATTTCAGCAAGGTTAGGTTAACATGCCTAGTTTTAATTATGTGCTCCATGAGAGCATTTTTCAGGTGGGGTCAAAATTTTAAACCCTTTCCAAATATTGTTCACTACCTTCTGATGTTGCCCTACCAAACCACCATCCTCATCCTAAAACAAGTTCATTTTTTTCAATTTCAGAGTCAAAGGCAAACCTTTATATACTACCCAGTAGAGCCCAACCCTAAGGTAGGCATCTTCGCAGTGCGCTACAAGCAATACAAGGCCCATTACTACACGCAAGGAAGCAAACTATCGGGATCCAGCAACAGAGACCACGACTGTCGCAACAGTGCCCCACTGACCCATCACCAACCACCGCTGCTGTTTGACCTGGATCAGGACCCCGGCGAACGCTACGACCTCAGCGTGGACAAGGAGTATAGTGCCCTCTTGCAGGAAATCGCAGCCATCAAGGAGAAATTTGAGGCCGGCATGACGTGGGGCAAGGCGCAGATGAACGGGACGGACACCAAGGTGGAACCATGCTGCAATCCAGGTTGCAGTCCCTTTCCATCATGCTGTAAGTGTGGGACATCAGGGGTGAATTTCATTCAGGTTTAATTCCAACCTTTAGTGACAGCAATAGATCGATCAATTTGGGCGATTCTTAATGCAGTGCGCCACCAAGAGTTTGCCACAGAGAGTTCCTTTTTCCCAGTGCATTGTGGGAGATGGTCGACAAATTTGCAGCGCGGGACATTTGAAATTGTTAGTTTTTCCGGTCAGTAGTTTTTGTAAGCGTATGATTCGAGTATATGTTTGCGCTTTTCTTTTGTTTTTATCAATATCATGTTTTTTGTAAGGCGGCAGAACGCTGTGCCCCAATCTATAACAAATTATCTGAAGTTGTCTACTGACACTCATTCAAATGGGCCGTGTTTTGTCGACTGTAAACTTTAAAAATGGACTCTACATGGCAAACTTTTGGTGGCGCACTGCATTGTCGCCCAAATTAACCCTTTTCCTTACCTCATTGTGTATTGACTTGGCTCTCCCCAGAACCAAATTGTGGGCTCAGTCATATGGAAATCACTAGAGTGTGAAAACTGAAAAAGTTGAAAACCTAATTTTTTTTCAACCCAGATTTCCACTGCCAAGGAGTGATTAAAATCAAAGGTAATTGTTCCTTGAACTTTATTCTTTTTTGTGATGTAAAAATAAGAAAGTTACATTTATGCCTGTTTGTTAATCGGTGTAAACCTCTTTCGAGTTATTTTATTTTTAGGCCAAAAAAAAAATACTCGGTCTCTGGTCAGCACGCCCGTTGATTTTAATCATGCGCGTCAACCTTTTTTTCCTGCTAATTAGCACGAAAGCTACAACAGCGCCCTCTATTGCCACACCTCCTCAAATTTTTGTACCAAGGAGCACCAAGGAATGGGGAAATTGCACCAAGGCAAATGATAAAGGGCACCAAGGCAAATTATGGAGGATGCCAATGTATAATGAGGACACAAAAAAGCAAAATAGTACCCACCTTGTCTGTACAATTCAAGCTGGAAAAAAAAAAAAAGCCACCAAAAAACACGCAAAAAAACTGCGTCGCTGCATCAATTCCGAAACTTCGGTCTGACCAGAGACCGATTATTATTTTTTTTGGGCCTTATAACCAGTTGCCTTTCTGTTGGCCACAAAAACAGTTAATAGAAAAACATAAGGTACAAAGCCTCCGTATTTACTACCCAACTGCAGTTAAGATAAAGAACTGCCTTAGCAGTTGATATATACATTGCACAGTCAGCTCCCGTTAGTATGAAAACCGTGGTAACCAGCCAAAACGTTTGTTGTATCCGAAATGTGTATTATCCAATACAATAGTACATTGTGACTGGATATTAACATCTGATGAAATTCATGTCATGCCAGCGCACAAGCTCATTAGTGTGCACCATTTCTTTTACCCATAATCCTTTGCGTCACATGCATAATTCAGTGAGGAAGTGATCAGTTTCTTCTTGGCGCTTTCCTTATCAAAATGTACAGAGTATCTTTCTGATATTTTTCCAATGGTGGTTGACATGTTGGGATTAACGGATTGAGTGGATGATGATTAAACACGAAACAAGTAATGCCGGATATATCTGTCTACGACCCGCTCGCAGCGAGCAAGGCCGGTAATATTAGTGTGTGCTACCCTGATACCTCTGGCATCGAGGTTGATGAAAAACAATCCCGCGCTTGGGTCCAGTCAATGTCAAAATAATCTCGGCACAAAGTGTTTAGGTCTAGCAAACATATCGGTAGTCTGAGTATCACCCGTTATCCACAGATCCATGTCTCCTGTATAACGTCTGATATGTCCAGACATGCAGATACAATGTACAGTCCCGTTCACGGTTAGTGAATCACGACCACGGGAAAATTAATCCTTACGTGAACGAGTACCGTCAACGTAATCCGCTTAGGAAGGATTATAAAACCACACACGATCCCGCAGAAGCGCTAAGTCGATCTCGTGATTAAGTACCACGGCGCATGTTGTGGTGTTTACCTAACAAAGGCAAGTTGATTTGTGGCGGTAACCGTGTTTAATGGGGACGGCGACCGCTTCCTATCTTTGCTTAAATGCTTAACTAACACCTTGTGTTGATAAAGTGGCTTTAATGGGGACGCTCACGTTTGTCAGAAGGTGTTTGAAGTTTTAAGGTCGCCCGCGTTTACGAGGGAGTTTTACAAGCAAAATTGACAGTACAAACATGCATGTTTGTCGGAATCCATGTTTAAAGCATGGAGCTATAAAAGCAACAGGCCTGTACATAACATCTTTCGCTTTCCAATGTAGGCAGTCCAGATCGTTAGGAACCAAATGGTTATACATTTGATGTGCGGTGTTCTTTAATTGAAATGACGGCGATCCGTTATCGTAAACACCCTCTCTTATCCTGGGTTTAGTTACATAACATTTCCAAATGGATTCTTCCATGGATTACTTCTCAAAGAAAAAAATACGTCCTGGAACTGCCGTGCGATGCAGAGAAACTCTACGTCGTGGCAGTAGTGCGCGAACACGATTTTTTTTAAAACATTGTTCAGTGTCTTCGATATCATTGCCAATTCCTTTCAATTCAATTCAAAATACTTTATTTATCTTTACAAAACCAATTACAAATGGTTGGACAGCTCATTATAAAACAAGCAAAATAATTACAAGTCGAATGAATATAACATTTTAAACGAAATATTACACAACAAATTCATGACTCGATCACTTGTCATCACAGACAATGAGTGACACGCATGTATTGTATATCAATAATGCATGTAAATTCTCATAATGTGATACCAATCAACTTTCGGGAACGGGACAATTGAATTTTCCCCTGGAATCGCCGTGACACCCTTTTACGCTGCAAAGTTACGCACGTTACTTCGGCACGTCATGATCATCATGGTGAGTAGACCTTTCTTTGATCTGCCCGATTGATTTTTACGAACAACTCAATACGACAAAAATGAATAGATAAATTGCAATCACGGCGTCTGTGAAGCCGTCGGCGCGAGTGTAGGCCAGTATTTTTTTTCCAAACTATTCCCATGGAATAAAAAAAATATATAATAAGGTCTGTGCACGTGCTTCTTTTTAAGTACAACGCGCGGTTCCTTGACTCCTGAACTCGAAGTTGTTTTTCATTTCTATTCCATAGAACCGCACCACACTCATTTACAGTGGCGTTGCACACGTAAACATGCGCATACATTTTACGTGAACTTTTCGTTAAACGTTCCGTGAAATTACACCAAGTTTTCTGAAAGTTGCGAAATTCCATAGGAAGGCAACATTTTCAAACGACGTTTTGAAGGTTTCCGGTAAAACTGCAAGAAGATAGCTAAAGTTGGAGTTACCAATACAAAAAATTACCGTAGAAAGTCAAAGCCTAGAGGTACGGTTGAGACTGCGAGTGGCCGATAAAGCGCAGCGTGATTTTCCGCGTTGCGCGCAGCTGCCTAGCCTATAGCCTCTAGCTCTGTGAGCAGCGGCTGGTCGGTAAACATGGCCCTTGCAGGGTGTGTTGGCCGGCGCGCGGCACGCGCCGTTTTATGTTGTTGTCATTACGTGTGATTTAATAGAGCTTTGATAAGTTTCAGCATTGATCGTGACAGTGATCGGGCATTGGTTGATTGGCAGTTTATGATGATTTACCGTTTGGTTTGTTATATAATAATCTTATTTTCTCGTAAAAAAAAATCATTTTATTTTCTCCCTTTCCTTTAGGTTTTGGATTTGACAAGGACTAGTGATGAGCACCATATCGACATCGACAGTTACACAGAAATCTCTGTCATGTGTGAGCGAAATGTAACTGCATGGCATCATGGAGGAATTAACAGGAGAATTAACAAGAGAAAGCGCCTCGCGGCCAGGCTTGCTCAGTGGCTCACCGTGCTAGAAGAAAAGTTTGCATTATTTTCACCATGGTAATACGCATGCGCAGTTGTGGTACATGTGTTGCCAAAAATTAACGATTTTGAAATTGTTTGTTCGGAGTGGGTCAATACTGGCTAGTGTGGTCAACATCGCTGAAACAATCATGTCACGACGAACAAAATATGCTGTATAGGCCTACCTTCTGTAGGAAACCTTGGGAAATTTCCCAAAATATCATATTTCATACATAATGCATTGCCAATTAAACTTTTTGAAAAGACATTATAACTTATGGGGGATAAAAATAAATTATCTTCAGATATTAACAAGAAAATAGCGCTTCCAGGACCCAAAAAATGAACATCGGTAACTTGAATTCAGAAGTCACATCAAACATGCGCCGTTGTTAAAACCTATCTTGCCGTAAATATGTTTTTATGCAATTATATATATATTTGTATTAATATTATATATAGTTATCCGTCACTTGTATTCTGATTGCATTTGTCCACAGGTTGGGGAACAAAAGCTACGTTTCACCCTATACCTAACGCTGTTCAAGTATGTACATGTATTTTGTTGATGTATCATGAGTATAGGCCTGACTTATAATGTATTTTTTATTATTATAAATTTTGTGCGGCCCCAATTTCCGGACGTTACAGTTTTTAATTTCGGACTGACACTAAACTTGTGTAAGCTTGTCATCAGCAAGCATGTTTAAGGTAATACATGTACATGTATATGGTATATACCGGAATTTTCGCAGAATGAAATTAAAATTTGTCCACAAAGAGGTCTTGCAACATTACTCAATTGTCATTAAAGTTGCCAAACTCGGAACTTCCAATCTCAAGGATCAATGTCTAAATGAAGTCGATGACAAACACAACGGCATCCTGGTCGTTCTGAATTCATGATGACGCTGATGGCTTGTTTTTTAATCCTTCAGAATATTTTTCTTTTGCTTAGTAGGTTATGGTTTATAACATTTCCAAGGGAAAATAAAATCCGAGAACCTCACTTCGATCTGCACCCCATACCGTCGGGCGGATGGACTGGGAACGAGTCTAAAAGCCCACATGCACAGTAGTCTGGTTCCTCTTCTTTCACGATGTACAATAGGGATTTAAGTCCAGACTCCACGCGAAATAGCGAAAGCACGCCGTAAGATAGAGTCGTTGGCTGCGATTATCGATGGTTTGAAAGATATGAACAATTTCAAAAAGTGTGTATGGAAAGCTAAGAGAAATCGGAAAGATTCCCATATCGGGACTATAGTCCTTCTTCCATGGTGCTCAGGATCGCATTGAATCAATAATGAGCAGTGCGCGTCCGTGTTATGATCGCGTGCAAATATATAGGCCTAGCTCTATTCATTGGTACGGTACGGTGTTTAGAAATCCACGCAAGGTCAGTACGGGCGCACGTGAAAAATCGCGGACAATCCCCGTTCCTGGAGACTGTCCCCGTATTCGGAGACAGCCGGCCCACAGATTTTTTTTCAGCAGCGCCGTCTCCCAAATCGGAGACTGTCCCCCGATCGGGGGACAAACCTTTAGAGTCTGGCTGCCTGACTCATTACATGATTTTCACACGGGCTCAATTTAGAGTCAGGAGAACTACTTACTGCACGTTTTTTGTGTGTTGTTTTCCCGTGTTGTATACGTTGCAAGTATGTACATGTACGTGCAGTGTTCCGTGTTCTAGTATTTTGTTTATCATTTTTTAATCAAAGTTTAATCATTTTTTTAATGATCTTACAGTTTTGGATATTTCTTTTCTGATGCTTGTGTTTTGGTAGCGATCTCTGGTAATGGTATTGGCAGTGGTAAGTACATGATTGGCTTTAGTAAATCAAATACATGTGTATCTGGAATTCATTTGGATACAGAATTTTGCATGGACAATTTTCTGGACTCGATGCGAATGGCTTGGGGTTTTGGGGCCTTATTTATTTTTTATTTTTAATTCAAGAAATTTCTAGGTGAATGATCAAAGGCTTTAGTTTATTCACGAGTTGGTCATACTAAATTTAATATAAAATTTGTTATTAAAATACCCTAATGTTTTCAGCCGCATTAAGAAAAAAAAAGGAAAGTGAGGCCAGTGGCACCACAAAAAAATATTCTGGCAACTTCATAAAATGGAAACTCATCGATATATATAGCTTCCTGGCGATAGTCATCGCTCGTAGGTGTTCAAGTTGAATACACGTTTTTTTTTATTTCTCTCTCAGATTTTTAAAATGCAATAATTTATCCTTTGTCACGACTTACCTTTTTTCTTTTCTATTTTAGGACTGCAACCCTTCCTTCTGGTTCTCCCTTGATGCCCGTAAATTTGACATCAACGATTAAGCTTCTAGCCAGTGTTTGGTCTTCAGAGAAAATACTCATTTAATTTGCTGCTGAGGACAGTGTCAATTTAAAAATTGAATTTAAGTTAAATTTTAAGTGACCAATAATTATTAGCAGTAGTTTTGTAGAATTAAATCCTTAAACGGCTCCAAAATGCTTTTATTTTAATACAAACTACTTTATCCAAACAATCTTTTACATGAGAAAATATTACATGAGAAGTGGCAGTCATTATAATTGGACATTAACATAATCATAATTTCAAAAGTTAAACAATCCTAGCCTTTCAGTTAAAATCCAAAAAGAAATTTACTCAAAAGGTTGAATGACAGGAATTGTATTAATTACAAAAGGCATCACAGCTTTTATAAGTTTAAATGTATGAAAAATATATAACTTGTATACAAATCCATATCATAAATATGATAGACGCTGATGTCATATGAACCGTATATTGGCGATTGACATCATGAAATAATGTGGCAGCCAACATAATTGTCATCTGAGCTGAATCCAGGCCAGGGGGGCAGGTAAATCGTCCAAGAGACACTGGTCTTAAGTCACCAACAGAGATTTGGTAAAGTGATAATGGAAAGAGACATCTAGAAAGGCTTTGTTTCCTTGGTTCTATCGGACGATTGGCCAAGGTAGGCATGGAATAAAGTTTGCAGAAAATATTGCCGGGAAGCTGTCGTCCAGCATCTTTCTTTCAATAACAAAAACAACATTCCACTACTTTAGTTGCTACTTTTTTCTTTTTTTTTCTTTCTTTTTTTTCTGACCATTTTTTTTTTTAAAGGTACCAAAAAGTCGTTTATTTCTTGTATTTTCCGTATTAAAAAAATTCAATCAAATGCCTTCTGCAATCTAGGCCTACTATCTAATCAGCATGATCAGCATGGTTCTTCCTTTCTTCAATCAACGGTCTTCCCAACACGTACCTGAAAAAAAATACAGAAAAAAAAGGTAAGAAAATGTACCCAAAAAATATATGCAATGTGCCAAAGTAATAGTTATAAGAAAACAAATATGGTTTGGCGGCTTTATACAGCGTACGTGGTTAATTATAATCAAAATTAAAACACTTTTACATAAATTCAGTTTACGTACGTCCATGGTCTTACCGGCGCGGCACGATGATCCCAATGATGAAAGCCAAAATGTGCATGTACATTTTGAGTTTTGCTCTTAAAAATGAGAGAAAAGTTGTTAAAACTAATATAATTTACAAACAGTAGCTTTGATACTGCATCCAATATGATGATGTGGCAGGATCTGCGAGTTGAGGACCGATTTCACTCGCAAACATGCTCGAAAAGTTTAACAAACTCGAGCAATCGTCTGCCATCAATATTGCTTTGCCACGATAGGTATCGGAATTATGGTATCGAATATATAAGCCTATGCCTTACATGTACAATTTTAGTATCGATATATTAATCGGTTACTTGGTATCGATACTGTCGCTCGAACGGCATCGCAGCTTGATCGACTGGTATTCTGAACATAAATCGGTCCGTAGCGCAAAAAGTAGACAGTAAACCAGCGTTAGTTGGACAGTAACTTAGGGGGTAACTTGACGCCTGAAATGCTGATGCACGTGGCAGCATGCAATCTGTAGGAAGTGAAGTCGTTTTCAAGAAAAGTATGAGCCCGCGCGGAAAGATTGTAAAATTAGCTCTTATTTTAAGCAGACCGTGTAACTCAATTTGTATTTGTCTTGCCGACTGGCAATATTTTTGTCTTGGCCAAAAAGCTAATGAACTGTACTTCATATGATATGTTTCGAAATTTGCAAGTTCTTTTAGCTGTGAAAAGGGGGCTTAAGACCAAACAAAAAATGGTGTGTTTACGGAAACCCGACCGACCTGAAAATATGTCGGCCACATTGCCGACTTCAAACTTTTTATTGCCATTTTGAAGGTTGATATTGGTAATTTTAAATGAACAAATTTCAAACATTTCTAGTACTTTAAATTATTTGCCACGAACATAAGCCATTTTCCACACTTGAAACTGACCATGATTTGACACAAACATACCTGTGTTAAACGTGCGAAAATCAAAATGTCTTCTCAAAACTTGAATTCTCAAGTACATGAAGTACGATCATTTTTGCACAAACGCATTGAGGTGAACTGGTGCGCCTGGCCGACGGACGGCAAGGTTCTCAGATATAGAATAAAAGTCCCCACGTACAATACAAACGTGCGTACTGCGTTATCAGCCCGATACGTACGCCGACAAAAATGCTCATCAAATTTTTCAGCCCCCGGTACGTACACGCCATTAAAATGCACAATATAATCGTTACATACACCATTATTTCATCTTGACGTGCAAAATCTTGGCAAAATCGTGAAAAATCCCGTAGTTCTGAGGCACATGTGATCAAAAAGCACACAACTATTTTCTGTCGACCGCCGGCAACCCAGCTAGCGCTGCCTGCGGGGCATTATATGCATTGTTCCCTTTGCGTGCTAACAGAATCGATGCTATGATGAAGCCGGGATAGGAACCAGTGACTACTTGCCTACACAGGCGTCGTAGCATGCATGAGGACAGTGCAATCGGCCGAAGTTGGATCGTAAATTTAATACCAAACAAACATCCATGGAAAAAGAGAATTTACGCGAATTAATTCACAGAATTCATTCTTTGTTTTCTGTGTACATGTATGTGTTTTCCATTTATATGACGCGATTGCAAAGCTCGAATTTGTGGCGAAACATCGTAGCGGGACGGATTTTTGCAGTAGTGCAAGATTTTCGGCCACGTGGGATGGGCTGCACTGTGATGGGCCGCACACAGTGCAGTAATGCACACACTGATACTGCGCCGGAAGCACGGCGCTAAGTGCGGCCGGCCAGACTGAATGTTGGCGGCGCCAGCGGCAGTGATGTATGTTAAGCATATAGTGGAATCACCCACCTCAAAATGAATACCGACCAACCTTTTTCCTTTTCAAATTCGCTGTGATCATCTAATAGTAATACTGAAGTTCATTGCGAAATGAAAGTGTTATCATCACAATGATAATGTTCTTCTTGATTGTTTCGTATGTGCGAAGCATTTCTTAATAACCCGATCCTGGAATAAAATTGAATGCATGCTGTAACTCAAACTATGATTATGAAAAGTGGCATTGGCACTTTTGGCATCGCACAAATTTATTTTCCTAAAGTCAAATCTGTGAAATACTTCCTTCACTCGAGGTGTAAACTTCTTAATGAAAGTACATTAATGTATCATTTCAGCCGAAAGCAGACTGACTGAACGTTCAGCACAAGATCGTGGCATAATGGGTTTTATGACTGTAAATTCACAACACCACCTCTAACCGCAAGATAAGAATGTGTGCCGTGGTCGTGGTGATTAAAAGGACGTTTAGGCCGCAGTAGAGGACGGCGTGTTTTATGCGTTCGTAACACGATAGCATGAAGTTAATCACCTTGGCCAAACCGCAGACTGTTTGCCAACGTGACGAGGGCGAAGTTTTATGCGTGTGCGTAACGCACGCTCCGATAATAGCAGGGGTATTAACCGGTACCCATTGATTACCGGGGGTCGTGATTTACTAACCGTGCACGGTACTGTATATGCAAGCTGCACGCCAGCCAATCGGAGTCAACTTTACTAAATCGTGACGTCATTTCATTCCCAAATAAGGACTAAATGGTTTGATTGGTCAATTCGAATGCAGTGTTTTGTAATACAACAACAGCCTTGCGCATTATTGCATAACATGATACAGAGCGTGTGACACAGTTTTTTATGCATTGTCTATGACACGCAATGGGTGAATGACTGAAGACCCGATATAGAAAGTGCCCACTGATTGGTCAAAATCATTCTCAAATCAGGACTAAATGGTTTGATTGGTCAATTCGAATGCAGTGTTTTGTAATACAACAACAGCTGGGCGCATTATCGCGGAACATGATACAGAGCGCGTGACACAGGTTTTTTTTTAATGCATTGTCTATGAAGCGCAACGGGTGAATGACCAAAGACCCGATATAGAAAGTGCCCACTGATTGGTCAAAATCTAAAGGTCAAGAGGTGGTTGTCTTGCCTAAGTAATCAGCAAATCTGCTCACATATCATAGACCACGGCGAATATTAATACATAGACTAACATATCAGCAGAAAGAGTTGAGAACGCACACTTCAGGATTATCCATGCGATTATCCATTTTTATCAGTAATTTAATTTTTTTTTTACATTATCGGAAAAGCTTATGGCTTACCAGGGCAATGTGAAGGGGGGGGGGGGGGTTTAATGACTTTTTTGAATCATGATTCAAATCTTTGTTTTGAAAATGTGGTTGCTCTGAAAAGAGCTGTCTGGTTTGTTTTATCTTGAATTGAAGTTAAATCTTGAAGAAATCGGTAATCTTTCCTTGCAACAACTTTCTTGCTGCCGACGGGACAAGTACTGCAGGATTTCATCTGCGTGGCCATAGACTTTGTCTTCCATGTCAGGCTGGATGCAGAAGAAGTCCCGAACCAGTGCATCAGACTCTGGCACTTGCTGACATTTTTTGGCTGCTGTTCTTCTATCGACAGCTGCTCCTCTTCAGATTCCTCTTCCACTCCTTCACCCTCTCTTCTGTCACACTCTCAGCTAAGTGCTCTTCTGTAGGTTCATCTGTGCAGTGTGCAGCGGCATCGGACTCCACGTACTGGTGGAAGGACTCAGGAAGCTGGATGTGCTGGGCCAAACGGCTCCCGATATTATCTGGCCGATCTTGACAGGCTTTGAACATGACCTTCAGGATTTTGTAGGGATGTGTGTTTTCTCCCGAAATGAGTCCTACTACTGTTTATGAAGCCTCGTGTCAGCTCTTGAATAGCGTGAAAAACTGCACACAAAATGTTGGTTGTTCACAAGTTTTAATGCTCTCAAAACTCACAAGTTCGTCCCGTACCTGCGCTCCAATGATTAACAAACCTCTGGAACGACAGTAGGCTTAAACACACCTCACTTGACTGAATAAAACTTTTGAGGAAACTTTCAACGTTGAAATAAAACTTTCACATAGCAAGAGTGAAAACGATTAGTGAGAGGTCACATACATGTCACACTGCGCAAACGCAGCACAGCGGGAGCGAACTCTGGTGCCTATGGCAACCAAAATTGATTAACATCCTTGTCGCAATTTCCACGATTTCAGCCTTAAGTTCCGCAATGTCGGTCATGAGGGTGCCCTCCTTCGGCTTCCTTTTCACTGGTTCCTGGCTTGAGTCATGCTGCTGCACTTCATGAACAGAAACTGTCTTGGAGTACAACTTCTCTTGTCACTCTGTCTCATGGCTTGCTGCTGTATTAACTTTCGCGAAAAGATTATGCAGGAGGGAGCAATGTCACAGATTCACTTCTAAAACCAGTGAAGAGTGCATGCAGGAACATGTTCTGTACTAGGGTATATTCATACTTCAGGCCAGGGCTGCTCTCCTGAGTAGCAAAAATCACATTTTGCTTCAAGTCCAGGGCTCGCACTAGGAAACTCTGCGCAGACTCCTTGCTGTCTTAGGCCAGTCTGGACAACCGATGGTACAACTCCGTTGCTTCCTTCTCTTGATAGTGTGCCCTCAGGATGTGACGAAGTACGGGCAACGTCAGTCCCGCCCTGCCCTCTAGATAGCTGGGTACTGCTGAACCTGGGACCACTGCACAGATCCCCACTTCCACAATCTCACGTTCCATGTGCCCCTTGGCATGGCCACTCTCAATTTGATGGGTGAGGCTGGAGAAGGACAGACGGTCTCGCTGTCCCGGCTCACCAATCTGTCCAAATATTTTGAATTCTCTGCGGTTCAAGGTCAACAAGCCAGCTGGAGTGGTATCAGGAGTTGTCGATGGCTTCTGATCAGTTTTCGGGTCCGCAGCTGGTAGCTTCTCTTCAACTACAATCCCTTTGAGGAACTCTCGTAGGTCTGTGTGGAGGGAAAGCCCCTCATTCTCTCTCTGCTTAAGCTCCTCTCGCAGCAGGTTGCGGCTCATCTTCCTTCTAAGTGCTTTGGGGCATTCCACCCCCTGGTATCCTGGTAGGTCGAGGTGTTTGCAGTAGCTGTAGCAGTGAGAGTTGACTGACCTGCTCTATTAAGTGCTCGCCAGGGCTCGATTTACACAAAAAAAGTGGCATGCACTGGTGCATGTAGACCAAAAACCTACATGCACCAAGAAAAACCCACATTCACCATAATTTTGCAAATACACGTAGCGCATATTTCTGTATTTAGCAATTTAAGGATTATAAGCCAAAGATAAGGTTAGGTGAGTATTAAAGTATGTTAGACAGTACAGTACATAGCCTTTTGTACTCTATCATGCTCAAGCCAAAAGTTACCTTCTCGCCAATTCTCTTGAAAGTGGTACACTTTTTGGGGTTTCTTCCCACCCACCACCGTAGCGTCCGCAGCAGTACAAGACGTTTGAAGTTCAATGCGATCTACATTTGCCTGAGTTTCA